AATTGATGATTTTTCGAATAAAGATGGATTATGACTTTGTTCTAACAAATAAGTCTGTTTACCGAGTAACATAATTGCTACATCTGTTTAAGCTACTAAAATTACTAGGGTAAAGTTTGACAAAACACACATTTTAAAATATATATATGTGCGTCACTGTTAAAAATCTGTCTTCAGCTGTCTCGTTGCCTTTTATTAAAAACTAGCCTTATAATTATTTTCTGCGATAAAAATACCCTTGCACTGTATTTTGACCGGCCCCAAACCATTATATTGTATGATAAATGTGAATATGCTTGTAATAAATAGATAGCAGCTCATTTTGTCCTAGCATTGTTTTTAACTGGAGTAAAACATAGAGCGCCCGGTTCAACTGACCTCGAACATAATCGGGTTGTGCAGCAAACGAAAACTTTGCGTCAAAGATCGTGCCTAATAACTTGGTCGTCAAGGCGAGTCGAAGATTATTGGATTCGATTTCATTTATAACTGATGAATATAGTTTCTTCTTGGATTAGCATGAGTCGGTTCCACTGACACGATACACTAAACTCATTTGTAACTGTTTTAAGTGATTCAGAGGTATTTCGACCCGACACAGTTATTGATGTGTCATATGCAAACATCGTAACGTGACGGTACGAGATGTTTTCAGGCAAAGCGTTAACGTATATTAGGAACAGTAGTGGTCCTAATACTGAGAGCTGTGAAATACCTAGCTCTACCTCCCTTATCTCTGAAATTATGTCAGCTACTTTAACCTGCATTTTTCTAGCACTCATGATAATAAAACCCAATCTTTAATATATCTTTGTCAACTGAGTCGAAGGCCTTGGAAAGGTCGAATAGTAACGAGACGACGTATCTGCCACTGTTAAGCTGATTGTAGATAAAACTGAGATAGTGACAAGATGCCGTCTCAACTGATTTTTTCGCCTGATACCCGTGATGCGATATTTTTAATTGAAATGATACCCTTACTGAAACTAACTTATCTCTTGTGGATTATTTTTTCTACTAATTTAGACATGTTCATGAGTAGAGAAATTTATTTGTAGTTGTCTATATTGCACAGGTATCTCTTTTTATGCATCAGAACAATAGTTTGAGAACATCTGGAAATATCCCTCACCTACTGACTGGTTTATAAGGTAAACCAAGTGCGTTGTAGCCCACAGAATTTTTGTTGTCTACAGAATTCAGAACATCAATCGCTTCTTGAAAGTCGGTTGGACCAAAGAATTGTAAATTTTGAATGTATGGGATACAGTTCAAGGTAGCGACACATTATTTGAAAAGTAGTTATTGATTTTCGCAGGTACGCCAGTAGTAAAGGATTCCAGAAAAAGTTCAGATAATTTTCACTTTTTTCCACTTCTTTTTCAGTTCTTTGTTTAGTATTTACCATATCCCAAGCTCTATTCTTATTGTTGGAGGAAGTAATCTTATAGTTGTAATAATCGTTTTTAGACTTTGATATCTTGAGTCTATAATTTCGTTTCTCGTCACTATACATTTTTTGCAATACAGGGGTCTCCAAATTTTTCGTGAGTCAGAACAATTTTTTTAGATGTAGACTTTGCCTTGGAAGATCATCACTTGAGGGCCGTATCATCAGTCCTTCCTACAATTGTAGAACGCCTTTATGGCCTCCTTGATTTTCATAGTCTTTTCTCTTCTTCAGAAAGGCTGGGGTATTTCAAGATTTCTACTGTTCCATCTCAGCGTCAGCACTCTCCTATTGTGAGGCTATGTTTTCTTTCTGAGTCATAGGAAATTTCAGGCTCATATAACAGATGATGAAGGCGTCCTACAATTGTAGGCTAGGTGAAATCTAGAAATAGAGAATTTTGAAGAAAAAAAACGACTATGAAAATCAAGGAGGCCATAAAGTCGTCCTACAATTGTACGAACGTCTGACGATTCGGCCCTTAGCCATGACTTGCTTGGATGGGAGGCAGCTTTGTTTATAGTTGTTATAGGACAGTATAATTGCAACTGGAGCGTAATTATCGGCGGAGTCTCCGTCCGCGGACAGAGAGAGTTCAAGAGTCGTAGGTACTATGAGTTTCGGTGCCTTTCTACCACCCCTTAACTCACTACTTGTGGGGCGTCGTTGTCACATTCTCAATTCTTCAGGATCATTTGGATACACCGATTATTTTTCGAGGGCCTGTACGTCATATCGACTCAGATAGACGTCAAATCCACGTCAGACAGACGTCATAACGACGTTGTATTTGGTCTTTTATACGACGTCATATAATGACGTCATTTGGCTGTGCAATTAAATCGTCATAATGACGTCATTTTTTGTCGGTGGGGTACGTTGGCAGGGCCTTAAAAATGCGGCCATCATGGCGTCACTGTGTTCACTAAGGACGGTCCCTATGGATACGACATTTGGATATCGAACATGATGACGCTGTGGCTCGACATTCACAACCATCATGATAAATTTGAAGCAATGACTATTCATGATTTTAGAGACTTTCATATATAGTTCTGAGCAATGAACATCTGACTCTGACTGGATGGGAGGCAGCTTTGTTTATAGTTGTTATAGGACAGTATAATTGCAACTGGAGCGTAATTATCGGCGGAGTCTCCGTCCACCTTTTATAAAACTTTTGAATACCAAACACCCTCATGAATACAGTTATTATACAAAAGCGCCAATAAAATATAAATATTTTTGAATATAGATAATTGTCTTGCCTGTCTGGAGCATCTGGTGGTCTGAAAGGGTCAAACCTAGCCCCAGGTGGTACAGCACCTGGAGGCAATCCCCTATGTCCTCCACCTCCAAATGAAGGACCTGGAGGTTGGAACAACATGCCTCCTCCTCCAGGCGGTATTGCAATGCGAGGTCCTACTCTAAGCGGATCAAAGCCTCCGAAGGGATCCAGGTCATTCCTGCCCACTCCAGCGGGGTCGAAACGACCCGGTTCTGAAAAGAGACCCGTCCTGTATGGGTTGAAACGGCCTGCAGATGGCACCCGGTCTTCTACCAGTCGGCTCGATGATTGAGTTGTTGCTGAACTGGAATGAAAAAAAATTTCAACAGACTATTCACTAGAAAGGCGACCAAAAACATCAACACTAACATAAAATTATTTTGGTGTTGATTGCACTCAATACTAATAACTCATGATGGACGTCAATATCATATTTCGTACTTGTGAGCCTAAATTCAGATATATATTGATATAAGACAGCACAGAGTGCCATCTATTATCAAAATTGATGACTAGGATAGTGAAAACAGCAATCTGTCTGTTCAAATGTTCACATTGGTAGCCAGGTCAACACTGTAACTACTAGATGCTGCCGATTTTCTCTTTTTCCTTGATATTGTCTGGTTTCTGGACAATCAGGACTGACAGATTCGTCTAACATATATTAGACAGTAACAAATGAGCAAAGGTCCTGGCCAGACAAATAAATAACAAATAGTTTGCTAACTGGAATTTCAACAGACAGTTGGCTTTTTCCATTGCAAAGATTCTGGTTTGGTGGAATGTCTTCTGTATGAAGACATAATTATTCAATCTATGTAGAGTAGAATATGGACACAAATAATAATGTACATAAGCTTCAGTCTTTGACTATTGACATTACTGTGAAATTATGATTTACAATATACAAGGTATACCTAACGCAGCTTTACAATAAAATCTTTTTTACCTTTGAGTGTTAGTTTGGCTTGATGTATCCTTAGACTTCTTGGAAATGGCTACTTTATCAATCAGTTGTTTTTTGATCATATCTATGATATTTTTGTTGTCTGGTATTATGTCATTCAATGTTCCTGACCTACTTGCCACACTGCGACTATTCAGTTGAACCAAAGAAACATTTCTTTCATCCACTCTGATAAGGTTCAACATCACACCATCATCCAATGGAGTCGCTCTGAAATAATTTAGAATAGGCAGTTTTAGCTATATGAAACCTGTGTGCTGGCCTTAAATTGACCTCTAAATCAGGTTCTGTAGACTAGACAGTTCTTACCTGAAGTTGTAGAGCCTGCCCTGATAGACATATCGAATGGCATAATGCTCATTCCAGCCTTTGGGCAATCCCTCAGACTTGCTCTCAGTTCCATCAATGTTCTTGGATTCCCCCAGGCCAATGCATCTGAAGCCATTTGATACAAGCACTAAATGGGCCAAGCAGACCAAAACATCTTCATTATTCCTTATATCGTTTTCGACACTCCCGTAAAGGAGCTCCCAGCCAAAAATGCCAGTTGACATAATCTTCCTGTATATGATTTGTGGGTGCTACAATATTTGTAATTTTGCAAATATAATCGTCTTTTGAAAATGCACTATCAGCGTTGACAAACGTCAATCTAATCTTTTGGGGTTATGTTTACAAAAATAAAGAGAGATGGCCTCCTTCTATTTAGGGTGTAGGGATGAGATGTAAAACATCGATACTTCAATATCGTACGAATTATTATGTGCCAGCACCATTTACGACTAAACTTCTAGCCCCATGTTCTAAAACGGTGCTCATGATAATTTATATGTTTCATCTCCATTTTGTTACTGATTTAAAAAAAGAAAATAATAACACCAGTGGCGCAGCCGAAAGGTAGTGGTAGTCTGGGCTCATTTGACTGGAAAGTCGAAGAAGAGCCGAAATCAAAAGCAGAAAGATTACAGTTACAATAAACATGTACATGTGAAAAAATACTATTTATAGCGCATGCAAGCTCCAAAATTCAATCCATTTGCTAGAAATATGTTTATTTTAGTTCCCACTAAATCCCACTAAACCTAATCATGTACTGAGATGATTTAAATAATGAAAGTTTCCTAAAAGAAGTTATCGAACTGAAAGCATTCAGTTGTTTCTCTCGTCTGTAGATAAAAAACGTCTATGAAAGGACCCCCTCCCCCCCCCCCCCCCGAGTTATTACAAAACCACCAAATAAGCCTTCATATACAAATCCACGATAGAGTAGAAGCAACATAGACTTCAACTTTCAGTGGGACGCGTTCAATGCAAGAAAACCAGTACCTGGAACAAATCATCCTGATGATGAAAGGCAACTTGCAGAAGCCAAAGAAACAATAGGAGACTATAAAATCAAAGACAGCGATGACTATAAAGCGCCACCAAAAGACAGGGACACAACTGTAAAGAAATATAAGCAAGTACTGGATGCCAGATTGAAAGTAAGTATCGATAGTAGAGGTCATCATGAACTGAAGCAACATACAAACAGTAAGAGCACGGAGAATCAGGAAATTTTTTGATTATACTAACGTTGAATGCGAAACGTCGATGACGCAGTGAACATAATGATGACGCCAAAATGACTTTGTGTACATTGTGGTACAATTTTGGCCAAAGCAAAGTGATTTTGATAAATTGCTACAAAAAAATTCTGAACCATCGAAGGACTGAAACGTGTTTGAGATCAAACGGTATTTTTCTATTTCTTTATTAACCACTTCGATATCTACACTTAGAATAAATGCTCCTGAAAAATTGCGGAGGTGATAACGACGACGCGGACAGAGAGAGTTCAAGAGTCGTAGGTAATATGAGTTTCGGTGCCTTTCTACCACCCCTTAACTCACTACTTGTGGGGCGTCGTTGTCACATTGTCAATTCTTCAGGAGCATTTGGATACATCGCGCGATTATTTCTCGAGGGCCTGTACGTCATATGGACTCAGATAGACGTCAAATCCCCGTCAGATAGACGCCATAACGACGTTGTATTTGGTCTTTTATACGACGTCATATAATGACGTCAATTGGCTGTGCAATTAAATCGTCATCTTGACGTCATTTTTTGTCGGTGGGTTACGTTGGTAGTGCCTTAAAAATGCCGCCATTATGGCGTCACTGTGTTCACTAAGGACGGTTCCTATGGATACGACATTTGGATAACGAACATGATGACGCTGTGGCTCGACATTCACAACCATCATGATAAATTTGGCGCAATGACTATTCATGATTTTAGAGACTTTCATATATAGTTCTGAGCAATGAACTTCTGACTCTGACTGAGTCTTCAGTTAGTCTAAAATTGACCGCGCTACTCCGATCGGAGCCAGCATCGACGGTTCTATAGAAACAGACTACTTAAGAAATGAAATTACGTGACATCAAGCAAGCCTTAATGCGGTTGTCGTATAATTTGCACCAGATGAATGCCACCTGACAGACCCACTTCAACGCAATTTCAAAAGTGCACCGTTTTTCTGATCAAATCTAACTAGGTCTCCCATGCCCTTTTTCACTCTTCTCTCTCTGTCACTATATTCTTTCACTATAGGTGATGCATGCTTCTTGATATCATATGCCCATCTCATTTTGGATCTTCCTCTGCTTCGTTTTTATTCCCAGGGTCTCCAGTTTATATTAATGTTGATCCATCTGTAATCTGTTTGTCTTATATTGTGACCAGAAAATCTCCATTTTAATTGTGCAACTTCTTCCCTAACGTCGTTTATTTTTGTTCTCTCTCTCTCTCTTATCCACTCTTTTCTATTTTTATCCATTTGGTTTATGTTCCACATTTGCACATAGCGTACCGTCCCTAGCGACCAAATAAAATATCATAAATAATAATGTGTTGTCATTCTAAGAGTCAATTTCACCATCATTGATATTTGACCGTCAGTTTGATACCCTACCCAGCACTGCAAGAAATAACGAAACTGTTTCTAATTTTATAGCAATTTAATCTACGTCACGCGTACATTAGCAAGGTATGGTGGATCAGGGATCAGAAGTATTTGACTCGAGACAAGCTATTAGAAAAGAAGGAACAATTACAAGCAGTGCAGCAAGAGTTGCCGCATCAATTGTGGAGAATGTCTCCTCCAATTCCTGATATTCAGGAGGACGAATTTCCCGAAGAGAAACTCAAGGTCAATGTTATAATGGAATACGAAACCGAAAATATGGAGGAGAAGAAGCCTACGGCAGCATATATACAGGTTAATATGATTTATCTGCCTAGATAAAATTGTATTTTTAATAGCGGAAATAGATTGCTTACATCCATTATACTTCACACGCCACTGGCGAGAAAGTATTGCATTCGCAAAAAAAAAACACAAATGAGATGTTTTGTCATTATTTTATATCTACGTCACGTAAAGCAATGTCACATTTGAGTTGGTCTGTCTATCTTTCTCTGTCCTTAACTTGGAAACTACCACCTGGATTTTGATGGAAGTTTAACTACTGGCGTATTCAGAAAAAAAGAAAAGCTTGTTTAACGGCTAGTAATAGCTCGAAAATTATGATTTTAAGCTTTGATTTTTATTATGATTAAAAAGTAATTCTAAGGCCCGGTTTTTCAATCGCAGGTTAACTGTGATCTTACAGTTAACCTGAAGCTAAACTAAATGAGTTTTTCAATGTCAGGTTTGTCCTAAAACGGTAGTTAACTTTAACCAGGAGACTATATTTAGCTAGAAAGTTTTAGTTAAACCTATTCCTAGCCTTTTTTGCTTGACAGTGACATGAGTTGTCACAGATGACACGACACACAAACGTAGAGCGTCACAAAACCCACAAAACACGATATTTCAGACGTAGAGGCAATGTTGCCAGATCAACCAAGATGTGTGAGTTAACTAGACATTGAAAAACAAATTTAAGGACAACTAGTAGTTAACTTACAAGTTATAGTTTCCAAACTTGAAAGATAACCAGCGATTGAAAAAACGAAACGAAGGATTTACTTTAATTCAACACCCTTTACGTTCAAAAAAATATCGTTTTGTTATTAACGAGATATTGATTTTTCTTCTTTTCCTCCATTTAATTTACTCGCGTGTTATACGTTTTAAGGTTTTTTCTGCCTTCACGTAGGTTGCCGTATGTGCGGTAACCAACCGAGGGCAACAATATTTCAAAAGGTAACACTACGTCCGCTTGCATCTGCAACAACGCATTTTCGCTTGTTTCGCTATAAGTATTAAGATAAGCTATTGCATTCTGCTTTGAGTCGCTAAGCATCGACCATACAGCTAGACTCAGAACCAAGAAAAGCAACACTGCGTCTGATGACATTGCCCGAGAATACTGTCTAGTTAAGTGGATCTCAAAATGCCGCTTTTCCAAATTCATCTACAGTCCACTAGCTCTCCACATTAGGTGACCCCTTTACATATTGTCAGCAAGAAAATGTCGTTTATTTGGTTTGTTATTTTTTGCGATCTTAACTAAAATAATTATAAAAATTCCTTGTTTTAAATGATTCTCAACTTCGTATATATCAGCCAGAAAGCAGACTTTATACATTTTAAAACGATACTGGTGGGAAATCTTCTAAATTTACCCTCATTATAACCTACACGTATATACGGTGAGTATCAAATTTGGCTGACATCGTAATGTGTACGAGAAAGAAGCGCGAGAAGCGTCCAATATGTTTGTTAGAAAGAGTGCCCCGATGGCGTCCGTGACCTCCGACACCTCAGCTTGGTATAGGCTTGATCTCTAGGACAATGAGCAACTATGCTTTATCGAAGGTATGAGATCTATCGAAGCAAGACAGCACAAAGCGCGATCTATCACCAGAATCGTCCTTTGCGTGAGTGTATAACAGCTATCGGTTGGAACTGTAGATAGATTATTTATATGATAACGCATACAGCGAAGGTACACACTTTTCTATACAGTACTCGTTGAGGTAAATCCACTAATGTATCTATATTTTATTAATGTTCGAAACATGACCCAAAACGGGACTTGGTTCTTTAACCGAAAAATAGTCCAAGGTGGCAACAAACTATAAAAATCAATCAGGTTCCTTCTTTCAAGGAATACATTGTTCCAGCCATTATAAGCGAAAATAGAATTACATTTGTACCTTTACGCTTAAATTTCTCGTAACCTGTTGACTATGCGACAAATATTTGATAAAGGTAAAATGATTAAGAATTTGATTCCCTACAAAATTGTTTATATTACTTTTTTACATATTTTACGATGGTCTTCGAGATTTTTCAAAATGGCGGCAGATACTCCAGCCCTACTGTGCCGCTAATTTGAACTAATCATTAGGATGCAATAATTTAACGATATTACCAAAAATTTACTGTCGCCAATATTGTAGAAAAACTCACCTATTTCCTGGCCTACGTGCGATACTTTATATTCAATGGTCGAACAACAGGTTTCGCCACTTAACAACAAAATAAAAGCTTTCGGGTGACCACTTCCTCAATTGTTTTTTAAATTTTCATGAAGCCTCCGGATGTCGACCAATTAGAAAAAGAGATTATTCCTCTTCGTCAAAGATATCCAGCTATGGAAAAAGGAAAGTTTGTGGGCACTTTCGCGGACGAAATCATACAGAAGGTTCCAGAACAAACCTTACAATCTCTGATGGATGCTCCTGAAGATGTAGACACGCCTTACGAGATGTGCCTCAGAATAAGAAGGCTGAATAGGTAAAATAACTTATTTGCGACTTGGCGGTGATATATCCATCAATACCGTTTATGAACTTAGCGTCCGATATCTTCAAATGGAAGGGTTTGGGGTCTGTGATGCCTACCGTTTCACGATGTCCATTAAGACACGGAACATCCTGTATACATAATTTTAAATAATTTCAAATTTGTGGTGCTCAATGTTTTTTCATGTATGTTATTCGTTTCAGAAATGTATTTCGTCAGTTTCAAATAATCTCAGATATGGATCAGCTAATAGCTGATTTTAATAATCTTATTGAAGATGCAAAGATGGAAAGACTACCACTTCTTGCCAGTGGTAATTTCATAGACTTACACATTTTGACATTGAATCAGGAACTTAATATTTTGAAGCAGTTCGAAAATCATGAAGATGCCTTAACAGACAAGGTAAATTTTAAAATTAGGTTCAAAGATCATGTAAATTAGTCATTATTCGACGCTGAAAATTATTTACTATTTTTTATTATCTTTTCACTAAACGAACGTTACGGAATTAGCAGGATGACCAACGTGTTTGTAGTTTCTAAGAAATTTTCCAAATATGTAGGTGAAGGAGAGCTTGACAAAAGTCCATGCTAAGGAAGATGAGATAGACACTCTAAAAAGCAAGCAAGAAAGGATTAATGCAGAAATTGAAAGTCTTCATATAGAAGAATCTAAGATTCAAGAGAAGTTCAAGCATGCTGCTGAGAACAATAAGTTTTACGACTTCCTCAAAAATGTATTCAAGAAAAAATATAAGCCACCAAAAGTACATGTTGACGGTGGTAAGTCTAGAATCACATGTAGAAGAAAATGTATATTGAAAACCATAGACGTAGTTAAAAAAAGTAAGCCTACAATGGTTTGACACTTTTTGTTTTGTTTCAGAAAGCAGTTCAGAATCCTCTTCATCGTCCAGCTCAGACGAATCAGATGAGGATGACACGGGCAGTATAGATTCAAAGGACTTTGGATTTATCAAACAAGATCTGAATGTGTGTCCCAAAGGCTGCGAAGTTGCCATATACAATCTTGCAGTTGAATTACGCGCAAAAAGGTAAGTAACATGGTATACAAACTTGCGAACGTTAAAAGTATCTTCGAGTAACAGACTCATGTTACTTCTTACGCCACTGGGGGAGGAAGTATCTATTGTAATCGCAAACATTTTGAAAATGTAGTATTATGGTCTTTAGACGTTATATGACATGTACAACAAAAAAAAATGCTCAAACTAAGTTTTTTGACGTTTCAGATACCTGTACACCTCTTTTTTTGCGGCAGTAACTGTATATGCTTCCAGCCCCAGTAATTTTACGCACCTATCAGTACATATTGCATACATCAAAAAAACTAACGTTAGCGTTTTATCAAATGACTGGGGACTAAGGAGTATGGGCTAGTTGCAGTTGCATATGGACCTGTTTGACTGACTTTATCCCGTTATTTTTTTGTTATACATGTCTTCACTCAAAGGGGCTAACTTGGACCGACGATAATCCTTTATGAACTGATGACAGAGTTGCGCAGGAAGTACAGAGTCAACCTACTTGACGCCATTTTTTTATGTTATACTGCTGAGGCAGTTGCTGTGGACACAATGTTTGGTTATGCGACGAGTGCTCTTGTCGCACGACATCAACAAAGCTTCTGGTCCGGACTTGATTCCTGGCATTGTACTGAAGAGGTGTGCTCCAGTTCTTTCGCGTCTCTTCCAGATATCTTGTGAATCCGGCATCTTCCCAGAAAACTGGAAATTTGCTCATGTCCAACCCATCCCAAAAAAGGAATCTAAGGCCGACCCTTACAACTACAGGCCTATAGCTCTGCTTTCTGTTTTAAGTAAGGTGATGGAGAGGTGCATACATCGCGAGCTTCTGGACTACCTCGAACGTCACGGCTTGATTAGCGATAGGCAGTATGGTTTCCGGCACCAACGATCCACAGGGGACCTCCTAGCTTACGTCACTCAATTGTGGAGTAAACTCATCCAGTCTTATGGTGAGGCTCATGCCGTTGCTCTTGACATCACGAAAGCGTTCGATCAGCTGTGGCACGCTGCCCTCTTAAGCAAACTTAGATCCTATGGCCTCCCAGAAATGCTTTGCAGATGGGTGGCTGACTTTATCTCTGGCCGCAAGATATCCGTCGTAATTGACGGGTTCTCCTCTTCATCCCACAACGTCAACGCGGGTGTTCCCCAGGGATCGGTCTTGGCTCCGACACTGTTTCTCTTACATATCAACGACTTCCTTTCCTGCACGATCAACCCAATCCACAGCTTCGCTGATGACAGCACTCTACATGCAGGAATTCAGAGTGGCAAGCCGATCTCTGCCGCTGAGTTGGAAAAAAGAAGCTTAGCGATGACTTCGTCTCTGACAAGAGACCTGGAGGCTATCACTGCTTGGGAACGCATCAATCTTGTACAGTTCAATGCTTCCAAAACGCAGTACTGTACTTTGATGAACAACAAGCGTCACTGCGCTCACCCGGTTCCGATGGATGGTCGAGTTCTGCCAAAGAGCCATTCATTTCGGCTGGTCGGAGTCCAGATCACCGAGGACCTGATCTGGCACGAACAATAGCTGCAGCCGCTGGGAAAAAGCTGGGCTATTTGTTTAAGGCTAATAAGTACTTTTCTCGGCATGACCTTCTCACTCTATACAAGGCCCAGATAAGGCCTAGCCTCGAGTATTGCTCACACGTTTGGGGTGCTGCCGCCCCGACTACATTATCCATGCTCGATATTGTCCAGAGGAGGGCGGTCCGGCTGATCGATGACTGTTCTCTAACAAACAGTCTCGGGACTCTTTCGCACCGGCGGGCTGTCGGCGAGCTAGCTTTTTTCTACCGTTACACCAACTGACTTTGCTCCTAAGAGCTCTCTTCCATGATGCCGCCGCGCGATGTGCCTGCCAGACAGACCCGCCTGACTTCGTACATCCAGAACCAGCCGATACGACCGCTCCTTTGTCCCGAGGGTGTCGAGATTGTGAAACAATCTACAAGAGGAAGTTTTCCCAGTTCTATTAACCTTAGGCAGTTCAAAAATCGTATTAATAAAATTTCTTTGGGATCATCATAGCAGCCGCGGTGTTCCGGCATTTAGGCTTCTGCCTGCGCGGCTGCTTCGATATAAAAAAAATGGCGTTCGTATCACCAAATTTTATAATAGTAAAACAGAGAAAAACATTTTTAAATTGCATTTGTTTATTATAGGCATGAAGTTGAGCAAGCTGTAAGAGATCAGAAATCAGATTTAGAAACGGTAAAAAAGAATATTGATATGGCAGATAGACAAATAAGTATCCTCCAAAATCATTTCAAGGCTAGTCAAAGAGATCTTGAGAATTATCAGGTAAATATTCAAAAATAAACCACCTCTCAAGTAGGGAAGTACAGGGTGGCCGATATGTAACTAACTGGTTTGTATCTTGAATATTTATCAATTTTTCTCATCTTAATCTTTTATTGAAACTTAGAAACTATCTATGAAAAATAATATCCGACAAATGTCTACCTCTAGAAGCCGTGGGAGGAATATTTTTAATCACTTCCGTAATATTGTTCTTCAGCTTCTCTACAGTATTTGGTTTCTTGGCATAAACCCTCTTTTTCAAAAATCCCCATAGAACAAAGTCAGGAGCCGCTAAATCCGGTGACCTTGATGGCCAGTTAACATCACCAAATCGAGAAATTAAACGTCCCGGAAATATTGTTCGCAAAAGATTCATTGTTTCCCTAGCTGTGTGACAAAATGCTCCGTCCTGCTGGGACCACATGTTTTGCAGGTTAAATTGTTGGATTTGAGGATCCAGAAAATTTTGCACCATATCACGGTAGCGCTTGCCAGTGACAGTAAGAGCATTACCTGCAGCGTCTTCAAAGAAGTAAGGTCCAGTGACACCTCCATACCAAACACCGCACCAAACTGTGGCTCGACGAGGATGTAGTGGTCGTGCTGGATGATACGAAGGTTCTCAAATGACAATTCTGCTTAATAACAAATCCGTTCATATCGAAGTGGGCTTCATCGCTCATTATCGGTTGTCGGTAAAAATCGTTATTTTGGGTATTAAGCTGGAATATTGCATGACTGTATTGTCGGCGACTTCCATGGTCACTAGACTGTAGTTCTTCGGTTAACTGAATTTTTTATGGCCGCAAATGCAAGTCCAGTTCTTGAGAACGATGTCTGGTAGACGTCTCAGGGCGCTCCAGTACACTTTCACGAACTCTCTCGATATTTTCCGGAGTACGAACAGTTCGAACACGGCCCCACCTTTTCAAATCTTTAACTTCACCTATTTGTTCAAATCTCCGCACCAACTCACGAATGGTGTTGACACTGGGCATATTATATCTGCCGAAATCTTGTCGTAGCTTCCGAATCGACTCATTATTTAAGTAAAACGTTTTAACAATATTCAAATCAGTCAGTTATAAATTGGTCACCCTGAATAAGAGATTTTCAGGATACAAATTTCTAGATAACGCCCGTTTTGAGAATCATAGATTAACTACTTAGCTAAAGTTCAACAGAATAAGCAGGACGAATCGTAGATCGCAAATTAAATCTTGCAATTTCCAGAGAGAGAAACAAAAATTACTGAACCAAGTCAAATGCGTCACGATATTAAGAGCAAGTCAAATTTGTGAGTTGAATGTCGACAACTTCAATGTGGATGATTATCTTGTGTTTTCAAAGCAGAGATTATCAGAGTTGTACAAGAGAGTAGGTGAATTGCAGTATGAAGATTACAAACAGAAGAGTACATATGAGTAAGTAACACAAAAGAAGAAAAAACCATAAAAATAGTTTGCAACTCAAGCATAACAATCATAAAAGTGTGAATCAGTGGTAAAAATAATACTGGTTCTGTTGTGATATGGTAAAGTGAGGGACAGGGACAGGGCATCGAGTCACACGTATAGTTTCACCGCTTGGCGGACTGTATCTAACAAATGCTCTGCCGTCATAAGCCAGAACGCAGTATGTCCACACAATGCGAAAATGAGATGCAGTCATTATACTATGAAAGGTACATAGAAGAATCATATTTCGATGATCAAATACAGTATATGTCATGATAAATACCGAAAATCTAAAATTTTCACGATTATCGTAAATTACAATACAGTATCTACACATCAATAAATTAAAACAGCAAGTGACCCGTACTTACTACACTCTTGCTTAGAAACCACACAGATACTGTGTTATGATTTATAACCAAGGCAAAGGCGCTAGCAGGTACTATTAAAGATACACTTAATCACACCGAGTTCTTAATATTTTTGATCACTTTTCGTCGATTATTTAGTGTATTTGTCATGATACTGTAGAGCATTTTCATAGTTTTCATATACGTGAACGTGCGATAAACATACATTGCGGAGTACTGTTATGTTATTAATTAAAGAGACAGCAGTTCAGATAATTCAGAAGTAACAGTATATGCTTTTTTATCTATAGATACGCATCTGTGGTAAAATTAATGAATTCGTTAGAACATATTATCAACTTTAACCGGATACAAACCAAACGTATTCTTTTTCCTTAAAACATTACAATTCGAGAAAGGTTAAAACACGTTCTCATCGTTCCTGTAAAATTTGAAAATAGCAGATACTATCTTCTGGCTTATGACGGCATTTACATTGCTTATAATGGTACAGTCGTGTAATATTAGTGGTAACCTGCTGCATACAATTTTCTGTGATAGTGTTTACCTGAAACATCTGTGCCGCATGAAAAAAGATCTCAATTACATGAGAAGCAAAAAGAAAGTGCTGAAGAATGACTATCAAAGAATCATGAAGGAGCAGTTTGGTAAACCGATTGACATACACGAAATCACGGAAGCCATTTTGAAAAAGAACTTCCAGAAGTCTCATGTGAATGAACTGGAGGAGGTACTTCTTAAGAAACTGGTATACGAAGTGAGGGTCAAAACGACCAATTTGAAAGACATTTTTGCTGCCGAATTACGTATGTGGAATGTAAGTAGGAAATTTTTTCCATTTCAGCATCTTGTATCAGTCTACATACAATGTATAGAGCTGGATCGGTACTGAACGTTTCATTCTGGAGGAACAATACCGGAAGTGAGTTAAAGTTAGTGATTGATTGATACGTAAAACTTCTGTGACAACAGGTGGTTGAGTGAGAAGGCATGTCTAGAGACACTTAACCTTCCGAAAGGGGCGCCTAGTCTGACAGACCCAGACACTCTACCATTACTCGGCATGTGTCGGCAATAATCGTCTCGTCCAGTTAAGTACCTTCCTACACAGGCCTCCAGTGTTAGCATGGCAAGCAAGACAGGTGTAGGTTAAATATTGATGCAGTTATTTTGTAAAAAGTCTGTGAGACTTGGCGCCACTACCCGCGTAACTGTTTTTGTGCTTTGTTGAAATTTGAGTGTTTGTATTTTGGTAAGTAAATGAAGGATTATTTATTGTTCTGTTGCTCGGTTAATACTTTGCATGAGAGAATATCTAGTATAATGTTAATTTTGTCATAAAAGTGTAGTTTTACATAAGCACACCAATCACATCTTGAGTAGATTATTTTATTTCTGTATAATTCATGCTCTCCACGTTATTTTTATTACTTTCAGAAATGAGTTGGGAAGCAGAGCGAAAAAGATTGCACGCCCTATGGGATGAGGTACAACTTGAATAAGATCCAGATGATGACGACTTAGAACTGGCTGGGGATGAGGACGTCACTGTAACAAGAGACACCGATAGCAAGTCAGAGCAAGAATATAATGATGAGGTCATTTCTCTTCAAACTGCAGACATTCCAGGAGTTCATCATTTTCTTGGTAAGGATAATGAGAAAAGATGGAGAAAGCACTGCACTACGAAAACTTCAAGAACTAGACAAGAAAACATAATTGTGCGTCTTCATAGGGTACGAGATTATGGAAAATATGCTCGCTCCAAAATCGAATGCTGGTCGTTGTTCTTCTCAGATGAAATGCTCGAAGAAATAGTTGAAAACACAAACTTGTATATTACTCGCATATCTAAAAACTATTCCAGAGTAAGAGCGGCGAAATTAACAGACTTGCTTGAAATTAAAGCCCTGTTTGGTTTGCTGTACCTTGCTGGGACTCACAAAAGTAGCGATTCCCCGTTAACTGTCTGCGATTCGACGACCTTTCTACTAGAGATGAAAGAAAGGAATTTGATAAGTTGGTACCAATAAGATCAACTTTTGACAAATTTATCCAGCACTGCAAAAATGCTTACTGCATAGAAGCCAATGCAACCATAGATGAAAAGCTTGAAGTATTCCGTGGGCGTTGTGGATTCAAGCAGTACATCCCCAGTATGCCAAACAAATATGGAGTTAAGGTCTTTGCTCTTGTCGATGCTTCCACGTCATATTGTGCCAATTTAGAGGTATATGTAGGTACACAGCCCGATGGAGCTTTCAAAACAAAGAACGATCCTACTAGCATTGTTTTACGCCTCATTGAACCTGTTTCTGGGATAAATAGAAATTTGACTTGTGATAATTGATTTCCCAGCATCCGTCTGGTCAAGAAACTACTCAAAGAACACAGACTAACATTTGTTGGTACCATGAAAAAAAATAAAAGGGAACTTCCCGGGATTCACAAATACCAGAAGTCGAGCTGCTTGTACATCCATGTTTGGGTTCCAGGAAGATATGGCACTTGTGTCTTATGTCCGTCCCCAAAAAGTATAAAAATATAATTTTAATTTCATCTTTGCACCACGATGATGCAATAGATAAGTTAACAAAAGAAAAAAGTAAACCTGAAATCATAACGTACTATAACAACACCAAGGGAGGCGTTGACAATTTGGACAAGCTTGGTGTCACGTTTAACATAGCGAGAAATACTCGTAGATGGCCAATGGTTATTTTCTGTGCCTTACTGAATATAGCAGGTGTCAATTCAATTTAATTTAATTCAATTCAATTCGATTCGATTCAATTCAATTCAATTTAATTTCATTTCATTTCATTTAATTTAATTAAATCACCAACAGTTTATAAACCGATTACTGGTGGGAAATTCAGTACATATACTCCCAACTTATTTATGTCGTAAATAATAAACAATATGCTGTTATAAGAAGACTATACCTAAGGAACCTTACACTAGAACTAACAAAACCACATTCAGTACGGCGATCATGTGAAACAAATGTACGAAGAGGAGTGAGAGAGAGGAGGCAGATTTATTCAGGAACACCTATGAATGCTCAGCCATTAATGGACATTACCCCTGGGATCAGAAAAATTTGTTTGTCTCTCACACCTAAGAGCTTGGTGTTCTATTTGTTTAGAATCATTGGGTAATGATTAAAAGTTATTTTATGACCAATATATTATTTAGTGTTAACAAGAAACACATTTTTGCACTGTTCTTGTATTTTTGTTTCTCAAATTCTAGGAATCACTTTTTTATCTTATTTTTTCTTTCTATAAGGGTAAATTCTATAAGAATTTTGTATTTTATGTTACAATGTTAATATTTGATCAAAGACATACCCAATAATATATTTTTTTTAAAAACTGCTTCGCATGCTTTTTAAGCAGGGTCTGACAGACTTGGCTCCACCTCTGGTGTGATAATATATAGCGCCACATCCGGAAGGTTGATGTTTAAAAGTTATGACGGTTTGATCTGAAATGTATTTTGTCCTTGAGGTTATACTGGAGATATAGAATCATTAATCAACTTATATACAAAAAATGACGTCTAGTAAGTTGACTCTGTACTTCTCACGCTTCGCTGTCATCAGGATTATGTTTGGCGCACTTTAGCCCGTTTGAGAAAAAAGTTAACAACCAACATGTACAATAAAAAAATGGAAGAATTTCCTTCTCTCCCTGGGAGGAATTCCTACAGGTGCACATGATCGTTGCGATGACCAATCCCGCGTGAATGACTACTCGTATATAGGCCTTCACCATGCGCAGTTCAAACAGTCCACAGTAGTGTGGAAGCGATAGCCGACTGTAACGTGGAACCACCGACAACGATGCTTGTCCATCCCGGGGACTGTAGGAGATTTTCTAAGTTTTAAAGGTTATGGCGAGTATGGGTAGTGAAATATGTCTAAGTTGTACGTAGAATCACTGGGGTTGGAGGTGTTTAAATATACCAACGTCCAAAAATTGAGATGTGTCCTCCCCCGCCCCCTGAAACCCCTAATCTCCTATTTTTAACCCCTACAAAAATGTTTCCGAAAATGATCATCAGGATCGTTTGAAACGTCAAAAAGCGATGTTTGTGCGATATTTTTTTCGTTTTTGGCCTTTTTCTCCGCCTCCACTAGACCGATTTTCAAAAACTACAAAGCTTTTGCGTCCATGCCATAAAAAAATAATATCCGATTTTCGAAGTTTTTCGCGATTACAATACTTTCTACAAGTAGGAGCGGGAAGTAAATTCATGTCATGTTGGAATGCAACTGCAGTTTTTAACCAAACCAAGTCCTTAATTTTTACAGATATACATATAGTCCATTAATAAAGTGACAGCATAGATTTTGTATCATTTGAGTTATGTGTATATATGTGATCTGACCAAGAAAAATATACCGATAATCCATATTTAACGTTAAGAACTAAAGTTTCACTTAGCCGATTTTTCAATATATAAAAATTAACCTATTATTGTATAGTGCACCAATTTGCGTGTATGCTTGTTCGACAAGTACTAATAACGAATAGTCGCTTCTGATTGCAGCAGTTCCAAATGAAATAAATGATATAAAAGATAATTCGATATGGAGTTGCTAGGCAATTGTTGAATTTACTGCCATTTAATCTTTTCAATATCATATTTTTAATGACAAAGTGTTCAACGCAAATACTACTCATATTAATTCAAAATTTTGGAATATTTTGGCTCACACAAAAAATGGACTGAAGATTTTTGTGTTGATTATTATTAAGATCCGTTAGAAAGTGACATAACCATTGGTAAGATCAACCATTTAGCTCATACCAGGAAAAAACTCAACTCTAGATCTAACAGTTTAGTATTTCCACCTACTAAGCACCAATAGGCTTTTTTGTTGTAGAATATTTTTTAATATTTCTACCAGTGGCGTATACTGTAGATTTAAGAAAAAATATGGTATGCCATTGCTTTCTGCGAAAATAAAAATCATTTTTAAAATTGTCATTTATTTTGCAACAAATTTGACCTATTGACTTTTTTCCATCCGATGCACCGTTTTTGCGTAAAAAATAGAAACCATTTTGGCTATTTTAATCATTGACTTAACTTAAATAAAAGCCAACAAATCACATCTTACTTACAAACTACTACATGAGATTTTACCAATTTTGCAATGAATGACAATTAAAAATACAAGATTACAACAAGTTTTGACATTTTCTGTGGATCAAATAAACTAATTCTATTTTAATTATCACAAGAATTGTTGTAAATGTCCTCCTTCTTCTTAAATACAGGCTTAATTTTCTTTCTCATGGATTGGCGAACCCTTTCAAAAATTCCAGTTTTTGTTATGATTTGGCAAGAAAGTAAAATTTTCTGCCTTAGAGTTTGAACCGGTAATATAGTATAGTATCTTTATTTTAATAGCTCCAAGCTAAACAATACAGTATATATGTTATTATCTAAACCTATCGCTATTTTCTATTTTCTACATACATTCTTAATTGCCTTTTGAATTTGACAAAATTTGTAGATTTGATTTCAGCTGGTAAATTACTAAAATCTATAAGGCCTTTATGAAATAAACTATTTTGCGCAAAAGCTGACAACACAGGAGGAACATAAAAATCAAACCTATTCCTTGTATTGTAACTATAAATATCACAGACAAATTGCAAACCTTCCAATATGTGTTCGAGGTACATGCCATTCTTTATTTTGTAGATGACTATCATTGTATTGTAAAATATATTTTGTTTGATACTTAATAGATTAAGTAGTATAAGCTAAAGTCTTTAGGTGCCCCCACAAAAAATAGTCTAAACTATTTAAATCAGGGGACCTGGAGGCCAAGATTGAGTTCCCCCACGTCTTATCCAGCGATTCGTAAACGCTTCAATTAGAAATTCCGTAGCATGAATGCTTCAATGTACAGGAGCACCATCACGGATGTATGTACCACATTTTTTCTCCTGAAGCAAAATTGGCAAATCGTTTTAAAGAACGTGATGATAGGATATTCCATCCCGTCGACCTTGAAGAAAGAGCGGTCCTATGAGGAAATGTCCAACTGTTCCAGCTCACACATCCACGGAAAACTGAACCTGATGATGTGCCTCCGTAATTGCGTATGGGTTTTCTCCGGCTCATACATGATTATTATTGAAATTTCGAATGGAATTGCAGAAAAAACTAGCTTCCTCAGTAAAGATAATTTTGATATCAAATAACGGGTTTTCAGTTTTTTTTCTAAAAACCATTGACAGATATTTAAACGTAATGGAAAATCACTCGGCAGTAGTGCTTGAACCGTTTGAATATTATATTGATACATAGTAAACTATCAACAAGTATTATCCAAATAAGAAAATAGGAAACATTAAGCATTACCGAAATTTTCCTAATACATGTTTCTAGATGTTCCTTAATTGTGTTTAAAACAGCTTCCTCTAATTCTGGTGTTCTCACCAGGCGATGTGCCCCTTTGGAACTATTGTCAATGCTAAGACTCCCAGTTTCATGTAGTCTTCTGGGTATTCTAGAAAACATTCTGGAATCGGGAAGGATACTATATGGATACCGCTCTTGATAAATCCGCCTAACCATAAGCATATTACCGTCAGCAGGTTCGTACGTAAAATGCATATCTGCTAACTAGGAATTTGTAAACCTTGGCATAGGTTACTTATTTTCTCTTTATTATTATTGATTAAATAAACTTTCACAATGTAAAAAAACTACCACGTTTATGAATATTTGTCAAAATAAGGGCACAAGGGCACCAGCCTGCTAGTTCAAAATAATTTCGTTATACCACAGTTGGTAACTGAGAATTGGAGAAGAGCCATAGACTCAGAAGAAGTTGTCATAGCAGTATTTTTGGATTTGAAGAGGGCATTTGAAACGATTGATAGAGATATTTTGTTAGGTAAATTGAAGGCATATGATATAACAGGAAGTGTTTTAGATTGGTTTAGAAATTATTTATCTAAAAGGATGCAAGTTACAAAAGTTAATGACACTATTTCATCAAAAATTGAAAATACGTTGGGTGTTCCACAGGGCAGTATCCTGGGACCACTTCTTTTTATTTTATACATAAATGATTTACCTGCCATAGTCAAAAAATGCAAAATTCAGATTTTAGCAGTTAGCATCTCACAGACTAAAATTAAATGCAGGTAAAACGAAAGCCTTGTTAATCGGAAAAAAACAATGTACAAATATTCAACTGAATATTGATGGTGAAGATATTGAATTCGTAGAAAATTTTAAATACCTGGGGGTTTTTGTTGACTCTCGATTAATTTTTGATATTCATTATGAAAAAGTTATAAATAAGATTAGTAGTAAAGTGGGATATTTATCGAGAGTTTCTGGATGTCTGAGTTCATATAGCAGAAAAATTATCTATAATACCATCATTCTTCCAAATTTATTGTACTGTTCGACTATTCTATATTTAGCAAATAATTCCATTTTTGAAAGACTGCAAATTTTACAAAATAAGTGCATGAGAATAATACTAAATAAAGATAAATATACTCCAATTAGGCAAATGCTTAGCAAATTAAAATGGCTCAATGTAAAAAAATTTATCAAATATTTTGTAATGATATTCATTTATAAAGTAAAAAATAATATATTTCCATCAAGTCTAACTAATTTAACATCATCAAATGTCGACCATCATTTACATAATACCAGAAATAAAGATGACTTCCATTTAATGACCAAAAAGTATAACATATGCTACAAATCTGTATTCCATCAAGGGTTGATTGAATATAATAAATTATACTCGGAGATAAAAGACCAACTTTGACAAAATTTAAAGTAAAATTGAGAAATCACTTGTTAAATCTACAATTATAGGTTGCCCAGCATTTACATCATACACCATATGGCTTGAATTTACTAGTTCTAAGTTGTTTACAATTATTCTGTTTATGTAGCCAAATGTGCTAAATAAATCTTTCTACTACTACTACAAATGCATGAAAATGATTTTTATTTTTTACGCGAAAACGGTGCATCGGACGGAAAAAAGTCAGGAAGCAAAGTAAATGAGGATTATAAAAATATTTATTTTTGAAGAAAGCAGTGGCGTACCATATTTTTTTAATCTCCTGTATAAAAAATGCCTATTGGTGCTTAGTAGGTGCATGTCAAATTTCATAAAAATATCTAGTACAGTATTAAGGTTATGATAAGAAAACGATTTTTTTCTTAAAATTTCAACACCCTGTAGCTCAAAAGTTAAGAGGTTTAGGACATATATGTTTATATAATCTTTTCGTCTTAAAATGAGTTAAGGACTTATATCCTGTATTTTAGCCACCAATTCAATTACACCCTGTATAGGGGTTCACCGATAGGTATTGAGGCAATCATCAAATGACATCTGTTCATCCACCCATAACTTTACACTCTGTTCCATTGTTTTGGTTCTAGGATAGAATTTATAAAACCCAAGATGTCCTTGCGTCCATAATCAAGGAGAATACGAATAGACTGGAGCTGCTACAAGTAATAAGTCATGAGAAAAAGGAATTAGTGAATATCATAAATGCGCAACCAAAGAAAAAGGAACAAGTAGAAAAAATTGAGGGGGTAAGTAACTGCAAGACTTTGAACTGAAAATATTTTGGGGCTTCGAGTTCAGTAGTCAGCATTCTACAATCTACAACATACCTATGTTATAAAAATCAGCATTTACCTTCAAAAAACTAATGATTTGATCTAGATTCAAGAGAAATACAATGAAAGCTTGGAAAAACTGGAGAAGTTCGTGGAAGAACAACAGAAACAAATCCAAGATTTGAAACTAGAGATAAAGATGCTAAAGACGAAGGGAATGCCTCGAAGAGAGAGAAGACGAGATGAATTGAAAAATATCATCAAAGAACAAGTGGAAACTGAACAAGCTGAACGTGGAGAACATGTATCACCACCAGAAGAAAGAGATGTTATTGAGACTAAGGAGTCGGAAGAAGTTACAGTAATAATGGAATTCAAGGATGAAACTGGACCGTAAGTACCGTATAATATGTTCTCGGGGCGAACCGTGAGACTTCTGTCTTCAAGCAGTGACTGTCGAAGAGATGGACATAAGAATTAAGTGAATATAAGTAATTTGGCGAGCAGAGCCTTGAGATCCCTGGCAGTTTGCGAGAAATGTTTTTGGGTAGAAATGGTAGATGTACTATTGAACATTTTAATAAAGCTAAAACATAACGTCTCATATGACATGACATTGAATGTCGGCAGATGAGAGATGATACCAAGACTTTTGCGCGAGTCCTTTCATTATGGTCATTCCAGTTCCATCCTGCTACTAAAGATATCACTGCGAATATTACTACGGTCAACAAAAGTATTCTCATGAGGATCTTCATATTCTGGTTCTTTCTACGCGTGTTTTCAAATTTGTCGTAAAAATTGCAATAGTTTCCCAGGTATACAGTCTCTTTGCCCGAAATTTGTAAATAAGAAGCATAGAGAGAACGAGAATTCTCATTCATATTTAAATCTCTATTTAAACTACACAATCGAGTATAACTCTGCATACCTTTATCTTTTAATATAGATTAATTTAATAGTTACTTATATGGTTTTTGATTGTAAGTTGAAGTAATAAGCAGCGATAAAAATGAGGCACATAAAGTTAAAAACCATTTATTGAACCCCCCCAAAAAAATGACTATGCCCTATGCCCTCTATGGAACAGGGAGTGCTTCGCAATATTTTCTCGTTTGCTAGCTCAAGCATAAGTTTAGGAGCTAAAGTTACACATTTCGTACGTTACAGTTACGTCGCTGAAGCTGAATATGTCGTTAGAGACATGTTAGATCAACTTCTGGGCGATGTAGATGCTAGACTTTCAAGATTATCCATAGAAAACATTGTAAAGAGTATATTAAGTGGTGTGCTCTTCACTACCAGTGTTGTTGATATCATCCACGAGATTGTGAGGAATTTGCCCATCACACCATCAAGTGAGCAACTTGCAATCATCGACGAGAGTGCGGAGAAACTACATCAACTACATGAGATTAGCGTAAGTATAATTGCACAAAGTGCTGCCATCCATTACCAAAGTCGACCACTGCGAAAGCGAATAGCCTGGTCGCCACCGTGGCCGCTAGATGCCGCCGATTCTGGTGCTTTAGTGGATACGAACTACTCACCATTAAACAAACCAGATGGTACTTTGTGCTGTCTTATTTCGATACTACTAGTTTATAATTACATCCTCAAAACTTTTTGCCGCCGCCAACCACTTTTATGCGTATAACTATATAGCATCGACCCGTCTGTAGGTGGCAGCGTTACAACATCTCAGACTCCTGCCGCAGGTTACAATATTTCTTGTTCTTTCATCGAAAAATTCTGAGAATACCTACGACATCTGAGGGGAATGCTATTTGTGGATCGCACAGTGTATTGGACTTTAATACTGGTGGTATGGGTCGCAGTAAATACTGAACTAACTTGTAAGTTAACTATTAGTTGCCAGTAAATTCGTTTTTCAAGTTCTAGTTAAATAACCCGTAACTGTTGATCTGGCAACACAGCTTCTACGTCTACGTGTTTTGTCTGTTTTATGATGTCTAGTATCATCTGTGACAACTCGTGTCACTGTCAAATAAAAAAAAGTTAGGCATTGGGATTTAACTACAACTTTCTAGTGAACCAGTAGATGGTCTTCTGGTTAAAGTGAACTACCGTTTTAGGAGCAACCCGACAAAGAAAAACGCGTCCGTGGTCACGTCACTCGGGTTGCTAGGCGAGGTGCTTCTATCTCTTTCTAACACAACCATTGCATGCTTATCGCTCGTACACATTACGACGTCAGTGGTATATGGATTTCACTGTATATTATTTTTGGCATCAACAGTTTGACATGAAATGTATGATTAAATTCTAATGTTATCCAGAATAAAAATGAAATCGTATTAGCCAGTTCAAATACAAAGAATTTAGGCCAGTTTTGTTTCAATGTCATACAGTGAAAGTTCCAAAACCAGGGTGCAACGGCTGGTTCAACAAATCGTGTGACACTGCTCTCCAGCAGACGATCAAGGCACACAGAACCTTCTTACAAAACCCCACTGTAGAGGACAAGCCGACGTCGAGTCCAGAAACAAATATGACGAAGCGATTCGCAATGCTTAAGACCAGCACGATATAAAAGTTAGCCACATAGTAATGTCGCAGCGCAATGGGTGTCGGGAACGATTGTAACCGGCTCAGAGGTTAAGGCGGAATCGCTTGCCAAGATCTTTGCTGCCAACTCCACCATGGACGTCCCCCCAAAACGTCCAAGTGCCGTCGCTTCAAAGGGTTCCCTACATGTGCGGGAAGTAACATTCAGGCCGTAAGACGGGTACTCTAGATATCAACAAAGCTTCTGGTCCGGACTTGATTCCTGCCATTGTACTGATTAGGTGCGCATAATTTTGTTCCAACCCACGAGCAAAAAAAAAATAAGGATCTGGTACATCATGCTAGCAAAATGGATACAAACATCCGCTTCAGCTATTAAAAAAGCAATCTTTCCTAGCTAAATAAAAAACCATTCGATTTGTGGGCATTACCCTACCTATGATGTCCAAGTTATATGATATTGGTGGTAACATATTGTATAGAAAACAAAATAATGATTTTACTTGTTCCAGACAAGTGAGGAAAGCCTTGTGAACTGCGTCCACGAACTACTAGAAGACGTACTGGATGAGGTGATGATGGTAGCTGGAGCACCTCACGATGTTGTTTTCAAGATGGTCAACAAACTGGTGGACGTAATTCCAAGCGAAATACTTCTAAGCGAGAGATCACTGGCCACCATTTCTGACAAAATCAAAGATATTGTAGAAGGCAAGCGATTGGATACTGACGAATTGAGAAGCTATATAGAACGTGTTCCACAGCATTATAGAGAGATGATGGCACAAATAATCAACGCTATTCTTGAACGTGTCTATGGAGAAGGAATTGATTATATCTATATCATTAAGCACGAATAGTGGTTTAGGATTCATTTTATTGAACATATAGAGAATATATATATTGCAAACGCACATTTTTCAATGCTATTATACATTTTCAAGTGTGTCTGACATAGTGACAAATAGTAAAACATTGAACAGAATATGTCAAGATAAAATCTATTATGTTTTTATCTTAACACTCTTCGATACCGACGTTTTGATACCAGATATTTCTCCATCGTATCGCTTCAGCTCTTTACGCACTTCTCTTACCTAAAAGAAAAAAATAAAGAAGTAACATAGACATCCTTACATGTAAGTATTCAGGATTCACGTTTTTTTTGCAATTGAAAATACCAATACCTACAATTAACATGATGGTTATTAGATTTACTGACAGCATTTAACAAAGATATAAGGAAATAAAATACTTGTGATCCTGACTGAATATAAATATATATACTTGTACTTACAGCACCCTTCCTCCTAATAATTGCTTTCCTATACTTCAGCTTGTGTTTCACCCTTGGATTTCTATGTTCTTTCTTCCTATATGGCGTCAGTCCCTTATTTTTTGCTATTTGGTAATTTATTGGTCTCTTCATTCCTAAATACAAGATATAAAATGTTATACATAGAAATACATTGAGTACAATAATACAACCATTTATCTGGAAATTTTTGATAATTCTACCTACATACCTTTATCATCAGATTTATTGTTTTCTTGGTCAGCATTGCCATCAGAGAGTTCAGAATCATTCATATCTTCTTCATACTCCTTGTTTAGTTTTCTGTCTTCAGCTTCAGACTTAGCTTCCTTATTGTTCAACTCTTCTTTTTTATTTGTTTTTGACACCTTTGCTTCAAGGTCAAACCTCACTTTACTCTTCTTTCTTTTTTTCGAAAATTCATCTTGTTCATCACCATCTGATATACTGTCTCTATTTGATTGAAGTCCACCCTCACCTTTCTTTTTGCTCAACTGTCCCCTCTTTTCTTTCAAATTAGAAAGTAATTTCAATGTTGCCTTTTTCTTTACCTGCTCCTTGCCGACACTTCCCTCATTGTCCTGGAGCAGTAATTCTATCTGGGGTTTGATGGCCTCTTCAAACACTGGCTCAAGCTGGAGGAGCAATTGGCGGTATTGATAGAGCCTTTTAATGACTGGGTGGTTTTGAATGTTGGCTGTTTTGGATGCTTTTAAAAGTAAGTACATGTAGATGTTTGTGCAGTAACTATAAAGTAAAAATAGGATTTTCAAGTTAACATAGCTTAAAAAGCTGTACTGATTAATACTGTAGGAGAGTTGGCTTTCTAGTATCACACCTCAACTCAGGCTCGGGGTATCACCAGCACGCCGACGTCGGCAGTTGCTGTTCATATTCGGTGCATACACAGCGTATGTTTATACGTTAGCATGTCGTCTACAGATACAGCAGATGAAACTGAGAATATTTCTCCCAGAAGAAACATTTGAATATTCAGACAAAAGAAATTGTTCTTAATGTTTATAAGAGCGGAATTTTTGAGCATCCTGAAATGAAAATTCATGATATTGAAAGACGAGTGGCGAACAAAACAGGCTTATGTCCTAAGACAATTTTCAACATTGTTAAAGAATATAAAAAAAAAACAAAAAATTGTCTCCACCACACAAAGCTGCTGGATATAGTTGATAGCTTTGATCAGAATGCCATCAGATGCAAAGTCCATCAACTTTTTGAAAGGCATCAACTTCCCACCATAGACAAAGTAATGCAGGAGGTTAATAGTGATGCAGACTTACCTGCTTTCAAAAGGACTACATTCTATAGTTAACTTTACTTTAAGCGGGGCAGAAATAGTATTTTGATGGACAGCCAAGAGATTATTTTATGGAGAGGAAATTATTTAAAATCAATAAAGAAATACCGCGACCAGGGCAGGAAGATTTATTACTTGGATAAAACCTGGATAAAAGTAGGTCATACAAAACCTACAGTGTGGGCTGACTCTACAATTAGATCAGCAAGACAAGTCTTCTTAGATGGACTTACCACTGACCTAAAGAATCCGTCAGGTACGTGTACCTAACCAATTCGTCATTTGTGTTGTAAAAATGGTGTCAATTACAGTATATTCAGATAAGAGATAGACCGGACATAAACAAGACCACGTGATCATCGAACGCTGTAACATTCGGCAGGGACGTATTAAGAGTCACGCAGTACATATTTTAGATAGTAGATGCTGCTTTGCGTAACTTTGTAGTAAATTAGCACAATTCGATGTGTATACGATTGGTGATGGATATAGGATCATGTGGGGGTGGGGTAAGAAATATATAATGATGTAAATATACATAAGGGTTTCAAAATTTTCGCTTCGATTTCCAGCTTCGGATGCCGCCTGATGTTATTTATATATATTCAAAATGACCTCTTTCATTTCTGCACTCAGGTGTCTTTTTTTAGAGCGTTTCCTAGGTGGACTACAGGAGTTTACAACTTCATCGGCAGTATCTGTACTACTGGGCATTTTGCGCAAGCAGTTGAGAACAATAACAATCAATAACAATGTATAACAATAACAACGACAAACTCAACAACTTAATAAGATAACAAACGAAAACGTCCAAAGAAATATCAAATTGCAATGATGCACACGACATACGTAACACGTCTGAACCTGAATGTGACTCTGCCTTGATACGACTGCTCTGCCGCTCGGCATAGGCATTTAATTGCGAATTGACCAATGAGGGCTCCTGTTTTACGTCGAGACGGCGGCGTTAGCGTGAAAATCACCCGAACCTTTTGTTTACATCCGGTCTATCTCTTATCTGAATATACTGTAGACTGAATCTATGAGCCCACGCTAAAAACTTAGTTATATCTGGTAGATTTGGAACCAACAACTCTTAGATACCCTGCTTGTATTATTATTAGTTTTCTTCAATATTATACGAGATAATTATTTCCAGGAAAAGGAAAACGATTTATCTGTCACGTTGGCCGTGACGATGCCTTTGTGCACACTGCCCTATGGCCATTTGAGTCAGAGAAAACGACCGACTACCATGGTAGAAATGGACGGGATTGATTGATGACAATGCTGTCATTGTACTTGATAGTGCTGCATACCACACTAGAAAAATATCCCACAACCTCCACAAAAAAGGCAGAAATTCAACAATGGCTCCTATCAAAGGACATTAGTTTCAATGAAAATTTGGTCAAAGCATAAATATAATCATGTTATTGATGAAATGGCTAAAAACCAAAATAAGACCGTTTTAACCCCCTTATCACATGTAATTAAATCCCATTGAAATGATTTGGGCAAGTATAAAAACTACGTGGTTTCAAACAATGGAACATTCAAATTATCTGATGTGTTTTATGAAACTGTGAACTCAGTGATGGCAAACCATTGAAAGATTGCATCCATCATGTTGAAGAGTCAATCGAAACAAAGATTTGGGATCTTCTTATATTCAAAATGAACCTGTAATAATTAATATTAACCAGTCAAATAATGGGTCAAGTACTTCCAGCGAATAAAAAGTTCTGGAAAGTATTCTTCATTCTCTAAAAATAATCATTTCTTTTGTTAGATCATTCCAAGACCATTGAGGAAAATATAGACCTGTACTATCTTGCTTTTGGGCAAGTTGTGTTTTGTCTGGGCTATGGACAACGAATGGGTTATAAAAAAAATATAAGCATCTTTAAAACAGAGTTATAACTGTGTGTCATATTTTTTAGTAAGGAATTGGAATTGGGTAATTTAAAACTACTTCTTCCCCTAACTTACTTCAAAATCAGCTCGTAGTATGTCTGTACAAATTCTACTGCATTGCAGTTTGGTAATTTTCCGTTTTTGTATCGCTGTATAGTAGGATGTAGATAGTCTTTTCCTACTTTCATTTTAGCTGAAACATTAAAATAATGTGTAACATTTGGAAGTTTGGGAGAATCAAAACAAAGCAGGAACAGAATTACCTTCAAAATCTTCTATTAGGCTGAAAAGCTCTGGAGACTCCTTTTGCAAAAGTTGAATCTTTTGCCGGGAAGATAATTTAGAAAAATCTGTCTTGACTATTTCCTCAGCCTGTTTTTCAGTTACTGGAGTTTTCTAAAAAGCAAGCCAATCATGTATCATGTATAGAAACCAAATGATGTAAGACATTTACCAACCTTACTCAATGTATCTAAAGAAAAATCATCCTCATCAAGTTGGTGAGCAAGCTGTTTTTGTAAATTCCTAGCTTCCTCTTCTTCTTGCTCAGCAAGATGTGCATCTTTGCCTTCAAATCCTCCATAATCTGCATCCACATAATCTGTTTTATAGTACTGCCTTTTATCTTTACCCCAAGCCCTTATATCTGGCAAATGGTCTTTGTCCTCCTCTATATCGCTTGCAGCTAGGTCACTTTTGTTGTCTGAGTCTGATCCAACTCCAAAAACTTCATCCTAGCAAAAGCAGGTTTTTTTTAATTATCACCCCAAATGATAGTAGGTATACAACGTACGCTACAATGAGGTGCTGTGATGTACCTATACGTCATAAGCAGTATGTATTACAAGTTTACAGATTCAAAGTGAGCTATTTGCCCCTTATTTCATACTACTACAATCAACTACAGAAAAAAAAATAGAGAAATACGTACTTCGCTGTCTGAATATTGTTTCTGGCCGTGTCGCACTTTTGTAAGAAGCTGCTTTTCTCTTTCGTCGTATTCATTTTCCGAGTCTGAGGCAGAATAATTCCCTTCTAAACTAGAAAATAGATATTACGGGTAAAATACACTATTCAGAAGCAAAACATACTCCTTACTTACTCCATTTATAAAATCTGAAAGTCAAAAACTATCAATATTTTATTTTGAAAATGAGCCGCCTAAGCAAAGCACACTTTTCACATAAACATAACCACAAAACACGGATCACAAATGTCGAAATGTCTAAAACTAGAGATGGTGATGGACATCAAACATCGATTCTATCACGGTCGATAGTTTGCCTCGTTGGTTGCCGTAAACGAAAGTATTGTAGCGTTTTTGTTGGTTCTTTTGGGTGTGGATTAAAACACTGGATTCCACAAAAAAAATGCACTAATTTATATAACTTGGTAAAACATTCATGTACACTACTATTTATGTCTGACTAATTCCTATGGCGCACCATTGACTGGACTATACTCCACTTCGCTCTGCTCTGGTGTAATCTGTACTCTGCTTCCATCTTCCGGCCGCCGAGTTATATATATTCCCCATTGCTCCGTCGAGAAAGGTCTGGTGAACCACAAAGCGGCATCTAGAATATTGGAGGTCACTTCGTGTCGATCTGGAAGGTGAGTCACTGCCACGGTCCTCAAAGACGCCGCCAAGCGTCTTGTGCGGTCGTGATCCGCGTAAAAGCAGAGAATGGCCATGAAGCTCTGACGAGTAGGAGACTCTCCCAACAGATGGCGCCAATAGTATTATTTATTGTCACAGTATCTTCTATTTCCAGTTCCATATATAACTATTTATTCTAAAATGCATAATGGTAGTATTTCATCTACAGATCAGCCTAATACACTGCTGTCTGATGTACCTCGTTTATAAAAAGGTACTGATTCTACAAAAACGAATTATGGTAGTACCCATAACAACACTGTGAAAGTTTAAATAATTTATAATGATCTGAAAATTTTCATGCCTACCTGATGCTATCAAACGAATTGAGAATTTAAAGTCATTAAGCTTTTCAAATCGTGTGGTATACTCGTGGAACTCTCTTAGTGGAGAAAAAGTGGGTACAATACCTGTCAATTTATTAACAATAACCTTGATAAAGAACTAGAAGACAGAGCAGCACGTTTCGAGCATTATCCAGCACAAAAAATTATACAACAGTCTTATCGGTTTTTTTTGCCTTCTGTAGCAGTGATAACAGTAATAAACCATATTATACCTTGTGAGATTTACAATTCACCTACTTTAGATCCACTTATCTGTATGTAATTATACTATAGTTTAAAGTTAGCTTTGTCATTAAGAATAATTTTATTCTCCAGACAATAAGGCATATTTACCTATCTATCTACAGGATGTTTCAAATTCAAGCCTCACCATTGGGACTCGGAAACTGTAAGAGATAGAAAGTCGCTTAAATGGGGGTAAAGTTGCGTATTTAGGTAGGTAATCAACAAAATGCCGCTTAGAAAGTTTCGAAATTCAAAGTACTCCCGGAGAGTGACGGAAAAAATAGAATTTTTCCAAAATCGTTTTAATTTTTTCCTGGCTTTATTTTAAGTTAGATTTCAAAATAAGTCGCATGTTGCCATCACCAACTTTGTTCTTTCACATGGACGCTATATTGGAATTTTGTACATTTAAATGGAATTTTTAGTCTTAAAGTCTGTGATGTATTTCCTTAGTTGGCCATGAGTTTGCTGTTCGTCGAAAGTTATAAGAAAATTAAGGTGTGGACCTGAACACAAAGTAAATTAATGATAATGTAACAAGAATGAATAGTACTGTTGGCGCCATCTGTTGGTTACCGCTCCAGTGACTCGCCTTCTAGATCGACGCGAAGTGACCTCGACGATTCTGGAATGGCGCTATGTGACTCACCGGAATCTCGAATCACCATGTGGACTATATAACTCGACTGCCGGGAGAAGGAAGCAGAGTAGAGTAGAGTAGAGTGGAGTATAGTTCAGTCAATGGCGCGACATAAGAATTAGTCAGACATAAATAGTGGTGTACATAAATGTTCTATCTAGTCAAATAAATTAGTGCATTTCTTTTTGTGGAATCCAGTCCTTTGATCCACACCCAGGTAAAGCCTGATTCTTGTCGGTACATTGGTCATTGCTTCATTTATTTCTCTTCTTTCCAGACTTCCAAGCTCTGTTGTTTGAGGTCTGGACCACGAAACAAATGAAATCTGATAGCTTCAAGGGCTACCTAGAAACTTGTTTTTCTAGAATAACTAGCATTTGGCCATGTCAATATACAAAATATTACACATTTTTGAAATCAAAAATAAATCTCTATTCTGCGCAAAAATCCAATATGGCGTCCATAAGAAAAAATAAAGTTAAAAGCTGCAGCACAAGAGACAAAATTGTAGAGCAGAAAAAGTAGCAATGTTAACATGCCACTAATTTTGGAATCCCATATCAAAATCAGGAAGGAATAATAGTGATTTTGGGATAAATCTCCTAGGCGAAATAATGAGTGTCTGATAATTTCAAGGCCTACCTAGAAAATTGTTTTTTTTTTAAATAAGTTTTGGCAACATCAATGATGTATGGCGTATTATACATTTTTGGAAGCAAAATTAGAAGCTCTATCATCTGTGGAAAAATTCAATATGGCGTCTATAATAAAAATAAAGTTAATGGTGGAGGGCAAGAGACGAAACGTCATATTGAAATTCTTATTATGTCATCTTGTAGAGGAGAAAAAGTGGCAATATTAATGTGAATTTATTTTGAAATCTACAGTCAGGAAAAATTAGAACTATTTTGGCAAAATTCTGTTTTTTCCGTCCCCCCGGAAGTGATTCGAATTTCGACACCTTGGCCCCATTTAAGCGACTTCGTATCTCGTACAGTTTCCGAGATCCCAATGGCGGAGGTCGAATTTGAAACACCCTTCGTAGTTTTGTCATACCGACGCACGATTTTATCCAAGTTTCTCTTAACTTTTGTCTTTTTAGTGGTTTCCTCAAACGTTGGATAGCGTATATGGAAAGTTATGTGGAGAATGTTCAACGACGTTATAGATGAGATTACTGCCGAAGATTTGATCGTATAAGTGCCCAAAAACCAACCGTGTTTCGGATAAGTCGCTTTTTATACAGTTTTCTAAATATCAACGTGTTTGCATTAATTCGTATTTTTCTTCCAGTCGAGATTCTAGATTTGGTAATTTTTGGATATTCTGAACAGCAGGCATGTCAGTTAATAATAACACCCAATAAAAAACCGTTTACGTAGAATTTTATGAATCAGCCAATCGTTCAGTATATGCAGTTTAAGTCTCGAAGGTCGGTACCTAGTGAGGTGATTTTACATTCATCATACGTGGCTTTATACCTGCACAGTGCCGGATGCACTTCACTATCGGTGATGATCGTTCATAATAGGAAAGATCATCGTGAAAGCATCTACACGAGCGTCCGTAGTAGTTTGTCAAACGGCAAACAACAATATGGACGTGGAGTGCGTTGCTCCTTGCTGCTGCAACATTTATTTACGACGGCAATCGTGTGAGCACCTCAACGCACCCACCCCCTCTGATGCGTGTCTGAAAAACCGACAATTCACGGGTCGAAGGCGATCATAGACGATTATCGGAGAGTACAGCCGACTATGCCCTCTACACGATCGTGCTCGCGCGTAATCGTTTGTAATCGCCGATTGTGAAGAGGATCCATTACTCTTATGCCAAAATCGCATGACTTGAATAATAGTAGACGCACTGTTACAAAATTCAGAGACTAGACTTCCATTAATACCTACCGGATTAATCCTGTTTCTTCAAAAAAAAAAAAATAAGGTTTTAAATGCATACTACAGCTCGACAGACACATTCAGATATCACTGATGTAATGCGTAGGAGAGAAGTCGATGACAACGCGGCAAGCCGCAGCTGCGTCGGTGGCCTCGTCACCTGGGTTGCTAGGCAACTTGTGCTTCTCTTTCTAACATACGTATTACTCGCTTCTCTCTCGTACACGTTACGACGTCAGTAGTATATGGATTTCTCTGTCTGCCATCATATTAAAGTCATAGAACCAAAAATAGCCGTCTTGGTACACGAGCAAAAAAAAATAAAAATAGTACGACAGAAAAAATCGTGTATTCCATTTACGATTATTTTTTGTAAAGATTACATAATGATGTATGAGGACTGCAATGCATTCATTCTAGTTATTCAGCATTCTAGCTATCTTCATCGCCACATGTCACGATTTCAAAGTTACCACTGATCTGAAACGTAAATTTTTATCATACCAATAAACTCACATAAATCACACAATTTACTTTTGCTTGTACGGTGGATTCCGTTCTCTCATCTTGCTGCTTGCTTCTCTTGTGAGGCTGTGGTGATGTACTAAAAATGAAAATTATACATATATTTTTGAAATTAGAAAAAGACTAGCACAAAGATATCATCTGAAATAAATATTACGTTCTTACCTTCCTACTTTAAAAGACCGTCTTGCTCTTTTGTAATAAGCCTTCCTATTATCTGGTTCCAAAGATTTCCACATGTGGCTAATTCTCAGTGATATTTCTCTCTTACTTTCATCTGAAAACGTAAATACGCTTTTTATATGAAGACTAGTCTCATTTATGACACTTCAAAACAAACATCAGCATGCAGTCTTCAAACTCTCGCGATCCTATTGGCTAATAAACGGCTGGGCATGCAGGGATGGGCAAATAGAAAAAGCAATTGAGTGGTTGTGGCAAATCATAAAAATCCTCGATATTGTACAGAAAAGCATACTAAATATGGAAATTCAAAAGTCCAGTTAAATTCCCATGGGGCGCCACAGGCCACCTCATTGGGAAACCATGTCCAACTAGCATGTAAATCTGACCCATCACATACTGGCAGTGGTAGGCTTTAGTCAAATGCAGGAACTTGTGAATTTTCATATTATCAATTTATCAAATTATAGCAAGCTAACCTGGATATTCTGTAGCAATCATTCCCCTCCATTCATTGGCAAATAGCATAAAGGGACTCACTGGCTTATGTTCAATCTCCAATGCCTTCCTTGGTACCTGAGTTCCATTTTTCATTACTTCCATGGTATCTTTAATCAAACTGCTTCTATTAGAGACTTCATCATCCTGTATTTCTTCTTTAATAACCACCATTGCTTCATCACCAGTCTCCATGGTAAATGATGAAGTGTCAGACAATAACACCTCCTTGTCATCTACCTCTGCTGGTGATGTGGGCTCTGATTTTATAACTCTACTATTTGCAGGATTTTCCATAAAGCTGCCTGCACTATCTGGAGATTTATTTTGACCCTCACTAGTTTTAGACTTGATATCCTCTTTTAAAATTACTTTAGCAGCTGGAATGTTATTTTCTACAGTCACGTTTTTGCAAGAGTTAGAACTCGATGCAGTATCAGCATGGTCAAACTCGTTAGGTGACTTAGCAAGAGGTGTCTGTTTTCCTACATATTTCTTTATAGCTGGTTTTGTTTTGGGAGAATCATATTTAATATCTGTATGCAGAACCTCATAATGTTCATTTAACTGATCTTTAGATAGCAGAATCTGTTTCCCCTTCATTATCAAAGGACCCAATGGACCTACCATTTTTTTTGATGCATCAACATCTTTAGAAGGCTCTACTGCTTTAGAAACAGTCCTGGCATTTACTGTATTTTCCTGTTGAGAAGAAAAGGTAGGTGATTCTACATTATTAGATGCATTTTGAGAACAACCAGGTTTTTCTATTGGAAGCTTTGGCAGAATTTGAACATATCTAGCACAGGTATTGGCAAGTGGACTGATTGCACTAATAGCCTTCTCAGTGGTTGTAGATGATGTGGTGCTAAGTTTATGTGGAGGTAATTTGGTGACACATGGTACTTTTAGTGTTGGATTTTGCTCAACAACTGTTGGTGTACCAGTGACAGCATTCTGAATGCACAATGGATTTGCAGGCTCAGGTATTTCTTTTGAATTCTTGCTGAGTTGCCCTGGGAAATTCACAGACACCTGCAAACATACAGAAAGGAAATATAAAGACCAAGTTGTCGATTTTATTGCCCAATAACTAAAAAGTAGATATAAGCCCTGTTTGTATTGCCAGCCTATCAGTGACCATGTCCAATATCTTGCCACACAAATTTCATTCACTCTGTTATGCTATATAAATAGAATTCACAGTGGCAGATCCCAGATATAGTCAACAACAAGTCATCAGCCAGTATATGAACAAACCTGTACTTATTTATTATCTTTGAAGTTTGATTTTTCAGTAAGTAGTTATAAATACCTTTTCTCGTAGTTTAACTGAACACAATCCTTTAACTTGGAATTTTTCACCTAATTTAAGTACATCTTCTATATCCTTATCCAAGACCTTGGTTTCGCCACTGTACATGAACTCAATGATATACCTCAAGTGCTCAAATTTCACTCCAGTTAAAACGATGTAAGGTTGGAAAGCTTGCCCAATTTGGTTCTCTAATATTGACTAAAAGCAAATGATTCATGAACCAACTGTAGATTACATCATGAATATAACGAAATAATGCTCTACATATATAACAAAAATCAATAACAATCACCGAGCAAAACATACACTCCACATTTCCATAAGATTTATTTTATGTGAGTCATGATCCCGTAATCAGTGGCAGATTAACAAGCATAGAAAATGCTACAGGACCATGAACCAATGCTTTATAAAAAGTATCTCCCCTTTGGGAGAGAGCACTCATGCAGTGGTTGCCACCCCTCACTCTCCAAATTTAATCATCAACACTTCCATTCTCAGAAGCACTGATGTAAGCCCCCCACTTTTCAATTACCATGCATTACACTTTCAGTATTCCACACTCCCAAAATTTCCCTCTGGGACTGCTCCTGAGATCTTTCATATAATTTGCACAGACCCCAGGCTTAATCTCTAGCGCATCCCATAGTAGTAAACCATACCTTAAAGAACGCGCTGCAGGCAGAAAGTATCAATCTGTGTACTTTAATGAATTGATCTTCACAAACCAAAATTGCATCCACAAATTTTTCGTTCATATGTTGCTCTATCATCATTTGAAGTAAATTATTTGTGTAATTATTCCATCGTAGACTATATCGCTCTGATCGAGCAAACGTTTGTTCCATATTTTCAATAATATTGAATATCGATACACTGTTATAATACTGCAAATTACTTCAGAACACTTCACAGAATAAAAAAAATATTAAGGTGACTAAAATAATATGCGTTTATTCCAATAAGCTACAGAACCACGGAGCCACAAAACATCAGCATCGGCATCCACATTGATATGGAACGACGGAACCACGGAGCACCTAAGATTTGGAGTATCTGTTAACACAAACCAGACACCACAGTTGCCAAGCTTAATCGATGATAATCCGTTTCTTCTTACTGTATCTTTTTAAACCTCAAAACATATGCTTTCGTTTGCCATTTCTTTTCACCCAGCCCAGACCCAGACATCTGTCGGGAGTTAGTTAAGCATCTATTACACAGGGCGAGATTAGTAGCCGATCGCCGGCGAGTAGCGAGTGAGCGAGTAGAACACGCTCAGCGAGCGCAAATTACACAGCGCTAGTAAAATCGCTTTACTCGCATCGTATTGAACCTTTGAAAAGTGTTTAGTTTGTATCTTTTGTGCGATAATAGAATCTAAAATGGCTGTTAAATGGAACAGTAATCAAATTATACAGCTCTTAAAAGTCTATGAACAATTTCCCGTTTTATGGAATATAAAACACAAAGATTACGTTAATATCAAACTCAAAGATGTTTTATTCAAGAAAATGTGGGAGCAATTAGAGGATAAAGGGCTTTTAAAAGGAATGGACGAAAAACAACTAAAAAACAAAATAAAGAATTTAAAATATGTGTTTCGTCAAGAACTGGCCAAGATAGAACGAAGCAAAAAAAGTGGCTGTGGAACAGATGATATTTATACCAAAAGGTAACATGGTTTGAAGCTGCCCATTTTTTCGCTGAAGTTTTGTCAACAAGGCATAGTAATTCAAACTTGGTAAGGAGATTTTAGAGCTATATATTTTTTATTCAATCTTAAGCAAATTATACATAACAAATAAAGTTAAATTTTCTTTAACACTATGAGCAGAATTAATTTGAAAAATAATAAATCACTTAAAAATATAAAAATTGTTCAAGCTAATGCCAATCCCACTTTTTTCCATTGCCACGGTAAAGGATTGTCTTCCATAAAATACTTAGCGTATTTGCGTCTTACTTCCTCTGCAGAATTTTTGTAGTTGTTGCTTCCCAAATGACTAACCGTTGGCAGATTATTCACGTAGTTTCTCCATTGCCCAAAAGTAATATTGCCCGTGTTAAGATCCTCTCTATCCACGGCATTTTCAGGAAAATAAGTATTTGGGCTACTTTTTTTCAGCCAGTTGTGGAGACTACATGCTGCCAAAATAACATTGTCAATTGTAGTTTCTTTTAATTGAATTGGTCTTGAAAATATTATGAAACGCCACACAAGAATACCAAATGCATTTTCCGATACTCTTCTTGCGCGAGAGAGTCGGTAGTTGAATATCCTTTCAGTATTATTAAGCTGTGACTTACTGTAGGGTTTCATTAAGTCGGTTCTCAATGGAAAGGCATCGTCCCCAACAATGACCGAATTTTCAGGCATGTTAAGTGTGTTATTTTGCATTGCTATGTTCAAAGTACTGTCTCTAAATATTGCACTGTCACTAGCTCGGCCGTTTGCTCCAATATCAATGTAAGTAAAGCAATAATCTGCGTCCACCATTGCGAATAACACGATACTATATGTTTTTTTTGTAATTAAAGTACATTGACCCAGACTTGGGAGGTTTTTTTTTAATCAGAACATGCTTGCCATCAATTGCTCCACAACATCTTGGGAAATTCCAACGAAGGAAAAAATTGTATTGAATTTGTTTCCATTCATTGCTTGTTGAAGGCATCTGCAAGAAAAAAATATGATTTAAAAAATTTGTTCAATTCTTAAATCAAGCAAAAAGTTAAAAAAATCTTTATAAATTTGTTCTAATTTTTTTCAGACTCTACCCAGCACACAAAATATATCTGAGGAAATCTCAAATTCTCAAATTGAACAGCGTGACGATGAAGAACCCGATACACAGCCCAAGGAACAAAATATAAAACCCTCAGAGGGGATGGGACCCCCTAAATCGGAAAAAAGGGTGAGAAAACAGGCAGATCCAGAAATTGGCGATGCAATCAGTCAGTTGAATAAAATAGCTGAAAATCTATCAGAAGGAAAACCGTACGACGAATTTGGAAAGTATGTAGCTGCAGAGCTGCGTCAATTACCCCAACGTGAGGCTATTTTATTGCAGCAAGAAATTCAGAATTCTATTACACGTGTAAAGCTAATGTGTTTGGGAAATGATAATCAACTAAATAATTACTACAGAGAACCCCTTCAAGTGCAAACTTTTTCACCGTTATCATCTCCCAGTGATCTCAGCCCTGCCTCATCAGCAACATATGAAGCAAATGTGCAAAATGACAAAGATAGCGTTTATGGTAACGATGTTATTCATCAAGCACTATTAAATACATTTTCGGGGGCAGAGTTTGAAATAGTAGAAAAAGTTTCTCAATGAAATAGATTCTATTTTTCATATAATTGTTTTATAAGTATACTGTGTTAAAAATAAATTGATACTTAAATTAAACCTACCTTTATATATGGCTTTAGGACCTGACAAATTGCTGCAAGTACTTCGGGTACAAACAATGAAATTGTACATTCAGGCACTCGAAATAAATATTCTAGTGATTTGAACGAATCACCCGTTGCCAAAAAGCGTAGGGTTATTTCTAGTTTTGTAGCAGTTGGAATCGCCATCCTCATTTTTGTGTCTTTTTTGCGGATTGTTTCGTCAACCATTTGTAATAGTACATTAAACTGTTCATTGCTCATTCTCAAAACATTCCTATATGCCACAGGATATTCATCCTTTAATTGTCTTAATAAAATATTAGAAGCCCCATGTGTGTCCCGTTTTGAAATCCCATTCCTGACCCACATCCGTCTCGCTTTCTTTTTTTTCTGGTTTAACCGTTCTTGAAGTTTTTTCCGAATTAAAAGGCTGACAAAAACAATTCCTACACGCACTATATCGGTCATTTTATCCAACTAGTTGGGCTTTAGTTTATTACACATAGCGTTTTCACTCGTCAGAGAGAAAAATTGCGAGCGAGTAGCGAGAAAAGTAGGCCGGTGTTCAACTTTACTCGCTGGGAAAAAGCGAGCCGCGAGTTTACTAGCAGCTGCGATTACATTTGACGACTTTTATAGCAGCGAGTAAATTCGCTGACGAGTAACTACTAATCTCGCCCTGTGTAATAGATGCTTTAGTCAGGGAAACAAAGAGGTGCTGCGGGTGCACAATATGACAACCATGTCGCACCCTCAACAAATGGCCGTTTATTCACAACAGACGTTGTCTGATTGGTCAGATTTAAATTTCGGGCGGGTTTCTTCCTATCCTATGCTTTGCATAAATAACCTTACTTTTTCAGCAAGTCATTTTCGTTCTGCGTAACATAAACCTATCATTTTAAATTGAATAAAGTCCCTATTATGTTATTTGAGACATGGTTTTTTATTCAGAGTAACAATCCTCAAAATTCGACACAAAATCATGCTAAGTATGCAAATTTTAAGGCCAAACTGGATTACTAGACGGGCTCCGGCCCCTTCTGGTATCGCCCATACAATGGAACCATATATACTCTGCAACATAGGTAGTTGGGTGTGCCACTATAACTAAACGACTAACTGGACAATAACTAACAAGCAAAGTGCCGTATCGTCAGTTGTACCTACAATTGTAGGATGCCTTTATGGAAAGCTGATTTTCTTAGTTTTCTACTCTTCTGTGTCAGCGCTCTATTTTGAGGTTATGTTACAAATATATATATTTGCATCAAATAAATTGTTCATACTTTTCTGTTATTTAGCCTAAAATATCCTACAATTCAAGAAGAAAACATAGCTTGACAATAGGAGAGCACTGACGTTGACACGGAACTGTAGAAATCTAGAAATATATATAATCAAATCCAAGAAGAACATCCAAAATGTCTGTGTTATGTACCGCGGTCCGCGGTTAAAATATGGTTTAAGATGACACACGGGTTGATGACGTCATTTTACTCGAATCGCTTGAACGCGTTGGTTTGAATCACGGTTTTGGTGCAAGTTGTTTATTTTAGAAAAGCGCGTATATAATTTCTGATCATTTTTATTATCACTTAGTAATCGGTGCTTTTTCGTCTACAACGGTGTATGGAAAGTTTAAAAAAGAAACCTGTTCATAATAAATGGGAGAAATACTGTTTTTTTCAGAAAAAATTTTGGCCCGAGTGAAGATAACATGGCCACACAAGACAAGTATTGAAATATAATCTACTAGACTCTAGAAGACTATCCGTAGCGAAATGCAAATGAAGATTGGAAATCTGCCGCTTTGGCGTACTAAAGGATACCGTCGTTACTCCGGGAAAGACATACGTTTTGGCAGTTGACCTTGTCATTCTTGTCACCTAGATCGCGGCGTTGCCACCTCATCGGACATTTGTGCTACCTTGCTAGAATGTTATAAAAAAAAGTTTCGAATACAATGTTGAGGGTACCAATGGAGCTTTATAAAATTTGAGGTGTAGCAAAGTTTGCCAAAAAACTGAATAAAGCAGTTATTTACATTTTGCGTCGCCTGGCGTCTATGCGGCGGAACGTTAAGGTCTCTGAACACTTTTATAAATAATAAGATAATATAGTTTTTGAATATGGGACTTTTTCCAACAATTGAAAAAACAATGTTTTATTATATAAATAAATTTATTAACTATTTGATCTAAAACTACATGATCATTAATAGAAGTACGATTTTCATTTTCTCTATTGTTTATTAGGGGAACATGTTTTTATAGTGACTGCATTCGCACTTGGGTGAGAAAAACCTCAACCGTCTCTGCTAAGATTAATTGTATCAGGTGAAGAAAAATCAAGTCGTTCCATAATTCTAGCTTCATTTGTACAATCGAAAATCGACAGCATGCCACAGTTCCGCTGCACCGACGGTTGCCGAGAGGCTGAAGCGTGTGAGTGCTGTACCTCGCTGCGGCGATATGGTACGGCCGGGTAGTACAGCCATGTCTATCCCAGGGTAACAAAGGCTCTTTTAGAACGTCTCAGCATTTGAATATATTATATTATTACGCAAATTTTTTAATGTTGTGCAACGATTTCGAGAAAAAATTAGCTACGGATAGTCTTTTAGAGTCTAGGGGCCAAACATTTACTGATTTAGCAGAAATGATAGGAAAAAGCGATGAAAAAAGATATTAGCAAAACCCTATTCAGGTGGACGTTATCCAGTGAGTTTATATGGCCATATTTTAATATTATTGTGGTATATGGCTATACAGGATACTTGGTTAAGCGTAAGAACTAGATTTAAATTGCCCCCAACAACAGTAATGATTATAACTAATAAGGTGCTCTACTTAATGCTAAAACTGAAGTTAGCCTGTAAGTTTCCCAAAAATGACGCTGAAGTACAACAAACATATCCAATACTCAGCAAAATTCTAACTTATCACATTTCAAATAATAACCAGAAATATAAAACTACCCCTGAGTTGGGTAAATACCACAATTTTGCGGTGATAACTTTTTTTTATATCGAAACAGCCGCGCAGGCAGAAGCCTAAATGCCGGAACACCGCGGCTGCTATGATGATCCCAAAGAAATTTTGTTAATACGATTTTTGAACTGCCTAAGGTTAGTAGATCTGGGAAAAGCTTCCTCTTGTAGATTGTTCCACAATCTAGACACCCTCGGGACAAAGGAGCGGTCTTATCGGCCAGTTCTGGATGTACGAAGTTTGCACGGTTAGGATGGGACGCCGAAGTCAGGCGGGTCTGTCTGGCAGGCACATCGCGCGGCGGCATCATGGAAGAGAGCTCTGAGGAGCAAAGCCCGTTGGTGTAGCGATAGAAAAGAGCTAGATCGCCGACGGCCCGCCGGTGCGAAAGAGTCCCAAGACTGTCTGTTAGAGAAGAGTCATCGATCAGTCGGACCGCCCTCTTCTGGACAGCATCGAGCATGGACAATGTAGTCGGGGCGGCAGCACCCCAAATGTGTGAGCAATACTCGAGGCTAGGCCTTATCTGGGCCTTGTATAGAGTGAGAAGGTCATGCGGAGAAAACTACTTCTTAGCCCTAAACAAATAGCCTAGCTTTTTCCCAGCAGCTGCAGCTATTGAAGAGATGTGTTCGTGCCAGATCAGGCCCTCGGTGATCTGGGCTCCGACCAGCCGAAATGAATGGCTCTTTGGTAGAACTCGGCCGTCCATCGAAACTGTATGAGCGCTAGGACGATTTTTGTTCTTCAAAGTACAGTACTGTTTTGGAAGCATTGAACTGTACAAGATTGTTGCGTCCCCAAGCAGTGATAGCCTCCAGGTCTCTTGTCAGAGAAGAAGTCGTTGCTATAGTCTCCTTTTTTCCAGCTCAGCGGCAGAGATCGGCTTGTTACTCTGAATTCCTGCATGTAGAGTGCTGTCATCCGCGAAGCTGTGGATTGGGTTGATCGTGCAGGAAATGAGGTCGTTGATATGTAAGAGAAACATTGTTGGGGCCAAGACCGATCCCTGGGGAACACCCGCGTTGACATTGTGGGATGAAGAGGAGAATCCGTCAATTATGACGGATATCTTGCGGCCAGAGATAAAGTCAGCCACCCATCTGCAAAGCTTTTCTGGGAGGCCATAGGATGGGGGAACCCTTTGAATTGACGGCACTTGGGCGTTGGCGGGGACGTCCATGGTGGAGTTGGCAGCAAAGATCTTGGCTAGCACTTCCGCCTTGGCCTTTGAGTCGAATACAATAGTTCCATCCTGACACGTAAGTGGTGGAAGGCTACTGTGTGAGAAGTTCTTTTCAATCTGCTTGGCCAGCGTCCAGAAAGACCGACTGCCATTGCGCTGCGACATTACCCTGTGCCTAACTTTTATATCATGCTGGTTTTTGGCATTGCGAACCGCTTCGTTATATTTGTTTCTGGACTCGACGTCGGCTTGTCTGTTCTCTACAGTGGGGTTTTGTAAGTAGGTTCTGTGTGCCTTGATCTTCTGCTGGCGAGCAGTGTCACACGAGTTGTTGGACCCTGGTTTAGGAACTTTCACGTTGTGTGGGATGTATTCCTCCATTCCGACGTGGATAATTTCGGTTATCGAAGAACAGACAGTCGACGTATCCGCGTCAGTGAAACAGACATCTCTCCAGGGAAAGCTAGAGAAGAAGTCTCTGAGCCCCTCCCAGTCGGCATGTCCGTAATGCCAAGTTTTGCGGCCTGTACGAGTTTCTGCTGCTACAGCGGCTTCTGACCGAAACCTAACCTCCACAACACCGTGATCTGAGTTACCCAGGGGGGACAGGACAGCAGTGCTGTAAGAGACAGGATGCGTGGTCAGAAAGAGATCCAGCAGGCTACTGGCGTGTGACGAGACGCGGGGGAAAAAAGTAGGGCTCGTGACCAGCTGGGTCAGCCCTTGAGTAAGAGCGAACGCTTCGACTGCGCGACCAGCTGCATCGGTCTTATTTGAGCCCAACCAAAGCTCATTATGGGCATTGGAATCACCGAGAAGAACTACCTCTGAAGCGGGCTGATTGATGTTCAGGAAGTCGATCTGGACGGCGAGGTATTCGAGTAGGTCATTCCAGTTATGGTTCGAGGGAGAGCGATAAAGGCAGCAAATAAATTTGGGTGATGTTTTGGAGTTGAGGCGAAGCCACAGAATGTCCTTCCGGTCTGATTCCAAAGAAAGATCCCTGGAGCAGGAAAGACTGCTGCGGACAAAAGCCACAACTCCCCCGTTCTTTCTCAGATTGGAGAGCACCTCGTAGTTTGGGAAGTTGAGATGGTTAATCGGTGCAGTCTCTGAGATTTTTGTCTCCTCCAAGAAAAGCACGGCGGGACGATTGGATTGCAGGTAGTGATGAACAGCATCAATGTTGCTGTTGATCCCGCAGATGTTCGAAAAACAAATTTTATCTTCGATGTGGTTCCCTCGAGCCCACCCTCCACCCGGACATTCCGAGAGTGGAGTGAGTTTACGTCCGGAGTTCTTAGTGCTCGAGGGATCCATCATCATTAATTTCTTTGTTTTAGAAGATAACCGACTGCATAGCTTAGGTGTGGAAACATGCGGACATTTATAAGAGACCCTGGGAAAAGCTAGCGGGTGGTACCGCCTCGGTCGACTGGTCCTTGTCTACCACCTTCTTTTTACGTGTTAGTGATATTAAATAGATTTAAAGTGGCTCGTTGGCGGACTTGTACCGCCACCCGGCAATCGGTACTGAGGTATTCCTTAACGCGTGCACAATCACTTCGACGGGAAGAAGTTGTATACTGGATACAACAACTGAACAACTTCCGGAACAAGCATTTGCCACGGCCCTCGCTCAGTAGGGCTGAAACTGACATATAACAGCTGATTCATGACGTCACGGATCTTATAACCAAACTGATAACCACACTCGCTTGCACGAATCTGTTATTACCAATCCAAAATGGTAATTACATTTTCATTTGGTTATTCGCTTGAATTTGATTTATGAAAATCAATGAGATCATAAAGCAGTCCTACAGTTTCTTGTAGGAACGACTGCCGATACGGCCCTTAGCAAGTGGTTCTAAAAATCAAATTAGATAAATCTACTGGAAAATAGTAAGTCTGACAACAGTGCAAAAACAAAATAGAAAATACATGAAAAAAGAAAATACCTTCATGGAGAACATGTACCTGCAAAATCCACTTTTCCCACAATTTTTACCATAATAGTACTAGATGGCGCAACGGTAACTTTGATTAATACTTTCTACTCTAGATGACGCGGTATTAAAAACAAACAATAAAGAAGGTTAGTGTCCATTCTGTTTTCTGTTTATAGTGTACAATAGTTTAATAGGCGTTACCATAGAAACAAGCTCTCAAACATACTGGATTTTGTTAATAATAATTAATTACTTTATGCATTAGGATAAGTGATTTGCACTAAATACATCATGGGTTGCTGCGATTCGAAAGAAGAACCTCAAGATCCTGAGGTGAATTTTGAAGATGAAAGAAAATGTACCGATGTGTTTTGGCTCATCTTGTACGTGCTATTCTGGTTTTTAATGGTAAGCCATTATTGCTATTTTTAAGAATATTGGTTTAATATAATCTTGATTTGTTATAACTGCATTTCCACGCCTGATTTTATTTTTAAAGATGAAAGTATGGTTGAATAATTCGGTTAAAAAAATGACATTTATTAGATGATAGGCTCTGAATTACCTTTTATCATAATAAAGATGTTGACATACAGATTATGATTACATGAAAACAAACCTGTAATGTAGATAAGGAATGTAACCCTTGCAACTTATCCTGACTATTTTAAAAATCATTGGCCCAAGTAATTATTTAAACCAAAGCAAACTTTAGTAATGTTAACTGCCAAATAGAAGATATAATTATCTAGTCATTTTGTAAGTAGATATACTTACTGCGAGTAGGATATTGATAACCTTTATCTGTTAATCAACTGTATGGTCTTTGTTTTACTAACACCCTTAAGAAATCTAAAAACTCTACAGATTATTAAAAATTTAAAGAATGCTATTTGTCACTTTGGCAATGAATATAGTTTATCCAACATTTTATGGGACAATAAATTAATTTTATTGTTTTGCTTTTTTATATCCTCAATACAATTTTGACATATTTAGGTTTAAATCTTGTTGTTTCCAGCATTGAATGGCAGTTTGATTTTATTCCCTTTACATTGCACCCAATCCATTCAATGTTTTATGTGCAAAAAGTTTGCTTAAATCTCCCTCAAGTATTTTATATAGTGTATTTTTAATACCAAGATTCCTTTGTAGGTAGTAATAGCAGCATTCTCTTTCATGTATGGCAACCCCCTGAGGATAATCAATGGCTATGATTCATTTGGAAACACCTGTGGTACTAACAGAAATAGACCTATGGCCAACATGAGTCTATCAGGCATCAATACAATTAATAAGCCATACTTGCTCTTTTTTGACATGAAGGAACTGAAGAGATCACTCAAAGTATGTGTGAAAGAATGTCCAAAGAAAACAATCAACACCATGTCAGAAATTGCTGATTATCACAACCAAGGAGTGGATCTTTGCACTTATAATTTTAACTATAATGATCTCAAACGTCCTGCAAAAACGTTGATGACAGGGTCATATGGCCCATGTCCTGTCTTGCCTATTTATGAAAGGTATTACATCATTTTTCATTGCAAAATTTTTTTCTTGTTAGTATTTCATATATTGTGGGCTATTCTATATGGAACCATTTAAAATTAATGCAAAATAGCCTAAAGTGGCGCTAATGGCTTGTGGCATCATGGGACAATAATAGTTCATCGCTTAAATGTTGAAATTCAGTTAGGAGGCACCTTTTATAATGTGCATGTTTGAGAGCATAAAGGACAATGTGCCCTGAAAAGTGGGAAAACCTCTGGATAGTCAAATAAATTGACTGTGCTATATCGCCGCACAGTTCCCGGTCGATGAGTATGCGTTATTTAAAATAGCTGTAGCTAAAGTTATTTTATCGCCCAAGGTCTGAAAAACCTATTCATAAAGTAACACTTCACCGCCCAGTTGTAAATTATCAAAAATATCGAATATTCCCCCATGGAATGAGAGATCGCTAAAGTTTACCATTTTTACTTCAAAGTGCAGCAACTTCATGCATTTGTATTACATTTGTTGACCTAAGGATTTAATAAGACCTATTATACAATTTTCCGTTTACATTCGTTCATTTATATAGCATTATTATAGCTTATTACACAGTTCTATAAATAACTTAATCAATGCTACCTGTACATTACTTCAGGATAATTTGTAATGTCTCTGACCTTGTAACTTGAAGGAGTATAGTATATTGTTTGGGAATTGGATATAGAGGACAACTTTGATGGCTTTTACAGGGTGCAGCAGAGAGGATGGATGGTTTTAAAAAAATCATAAAATAGTTAATTTTTATTCGAAAACAAATTTATTGATGGAATCAGGTTCAAAAGGAAATAGCATTTGAGACAGTCAAGTGTGGAAAATCACATCAGGCATGTGGTGGCCGAAATCGTTGATGCAGTGCTGGAGGCGTTCTTGGAAGTTCGCGTAGACTTTCTCCAACATCGCTCTCTCAACTTGGGCGACTTCCACGCGAATTTCGCCCTTCAATTCGTCCAGAGTTCGGGGCTTGTTCGCGTATACTCTAGCCTTGAGTTGTCCCCATAAGAAAAAATCGCATATGGATAAATCTGGGGACCGAGGAGGCCAATGAACATCGCCAAACCTGGAAATAAGGCGACCAGGGAAGAGAGGGCGAATAACGTCCATGGATGCTCGGTCTGTGTGGGCGGTCGCCCCATCCTGCTGGAACCAGGGAGAAAGAAGTTGGTGATCATGTCGACGTAGCGCTCTGAGTTCACGGTAACATCACGACCATTACCGTCTTCGAAGAAGTAAAGGCCAATGATGCAAGTTTGCGATACAGCGCACCAAACCGTTACTTTTGGGCTGTGCAGCGATCTTTCGTGTAACTGTTGCGGATTTTCATTAGCCCAATAACGACAATTCTGCTGGTTAACCATGCTGTTTAGGTGAAAGTGGGCTTCGTCACTAGGCGAAAACGCGGTGCTCCACCGTCCAAGGCTCCATAACGATAACTGTTAAAATAATGCTAGGATCTCACGAGTCAAACTGCACCCTCCCCACCTCTCTCGTAGACGGAGGCGGAGAGTACTACCCATTACAAAAACGTCCGTCCTCTCTGCCGCACCCTGTATATTCTATTTCAATTCATTATCGACTTTCGTCAAAGAAATATCTCCCCTATATTTACGACAGCTTACTCTACCTTTGAGCTTTGTTTTTATGTTTTTTTTGCTGGAAGAAAGGTGTAAAAAATGTAATGATTTCGTTATCCATCAATGTTTGCAAGAATTACGGTTTACAATACAATAATAAAACCTCATTTTCAGTACTGTTCATCTTTATTATATTTCTTTAGCAAGAACAAAATAGGCACCTTACAAAAATTTCAAAATAGGGGAATACGGATAATTTTACAGTGCTCTAGGTACACAAGAATTGTATATATGCTGGATACTCTACAGTGGTTATCAGTGAATCAACATCTTTATTTAACAGCAATGCTATTTATTTATAAAATTGTGAAGGGAACATTACCTAATTATTTAGGTGCGCATCTACGCCCAAATAATGAGATCCATTCATATAACACTAGGACGTGTACTCATTTCCATGTAAATAAAACAAATATGAAGAGTACAATGAAAACAATAACGTACAAAGGTCTATGTGAATGCCCCAGCCCCAGCAAATAAAAAACGCCGACTCAGTCGGGTATTTCAAGAAAGCATTTATCAAACACATAAGATCTGACAGAATTTGTTAAATTTATTATATTTGAATATATACATATGTATGTACTTGTGAAATGCTGTAATTCTACCAGTTGTTGTTGTTGTTGAAATTAGAATTTTTTTTTCTAAATAAAGGACTACTACATTCAGTGTCAAGAAATGTAACTTCAAGTTGCTTTGAGACAGTTAGGAATATTTGACAGTCACTAAACGCGTTTCCGCCATGTAGTAACAACGAATGCCACACATTTTATTGACGTGTGGGAAATCTTGTTATTTCAAGTTGTTCATATCTAATTGGATATATGTTCTATTTAAAGACCTAATGACAATGGATAGTGAGCGGCAAAGAGGATTAATCATATTTGAGAATACGCGCAATCTTTTTTAATAATACAATACAATTATATACCAAGGTCGATCACACTTTGAATGTTATAAAATAAAAGTTATTAGTGTGTCGTGTAGGGTCCGAGCGAACAACATTTTTTTGTATTCATTTTTTCACGAGTATTCATTACGGTAGAATGACAGCTGGTTATCTAGTAATATTTCGAAACTCGCCATATCGATAAATGCCACATAATTCTGACGAATATCCGTCAACGTCAAGTAGACAGAGTCGTGTTATGTTTTGACTTTGTGTATGCTACAGATTCATTTTGTAATTGCTAACAACTCCTTTCATTCAGAAAAGTTCATTTGCGTACAAGCAACTTTTAGTACATTTACACCCGATTCATTGTGACCAAGGTTACAGACTAATACAAAGATGTCACTTGCTGAGCTGTTCACCTCGGCAGACGTCAAAACGTGATGGATACTCGTGAAATAGAGTTTAAAAGCAGAAGCCGATTCAGCATTCAACACAACTTTCGGCCTAAGCCTTATGTTTAGTCAAAAACGTGCATCGCGTTATAAACATAATTTTTGTAAGTTGTAAGCTCAAACCTGTATTAAAATTAGAAGACAAATTATACTAAAATAATAAAAATAACTCTTGATAATATACATAATTGTGATTGTGACAGCACAATATATTAAACTGGATCTTTTATCTTCATATCTTTGTCCTGTATGATTAAATATCCGACAAAAAATGTTTATTGCTAGTAACGTAGCACAGAAGAATGGACTAATATAACAGCCTATATGTTCCTCAGCACGTTCTAAAAAGTACTTCAATTGCACTTACATTCGTTAACCAAGATTATAAGCATTTTTCACTCCCTCAGTAGGAGACACGTAAAACTTTCGTGAGTACAGTTTCTTCAAAATCTTCGGCCAAGCTTCGGTCGGACCCTAAAATCATGGTGACATTGAAAACTGTGCACCATAAATAGCCTCAATGATTTATGAAATTGTTTCAAATGAATGGAACCATTCCGATTACGAGTATTTCTCATGAATCAAATCTTTAAATCGACATTCGATCAATTCAGTTGCAAGACATAGGTACTTGAGCATCATAATGTTGCAATATTAAAGCTGCATCATTATGCAAAGTTCAAATGTTTTGGTCAGCAAAGCTGAAATGGAGTGGCCGTGTCGCAGAATAAATGGAGACGAAAATTGAGACGTAGACGATACTTATATGCTCTCGCTCATATTTTTTTTCAGTTCCCCAGTTTTAAACAGATGTGTACCGAAAAACGTCAAAGAAGTAACAGAAGCCGTTCTGACAAACTTTTATGGATTTTTAAATAGTTGGGACACTATAGAGCAAATTCTCAGTGACTTGTATAAAACATGGAGGGAAATATTGGGTCTCATCTGTTTTTCGTTAGGTAATACAGCAAAAAATGTGTTTTGGCATTTGATGCTATTTAAAAAGTATGAATTATGCAATTTTATTATTAGTATCGTCCAGCTGTAATAAATATCCCTACTCTGTAGATGTTTGTGCATAAATTATAAGATTTTTTTTTTGTAGTGGTATCCCTGCTAACAATAGGCATATTGCACTGCTTAGCTCACATAGTAAGCTATTTCATTATGATAAGCTTTTCAATAGCAAGTATTGGTGGCACCATATACCTATGGTACACTTATTTTGATATAAAATACCATCTGGACAAAATACCGAAGTACATGTTGTTATCGGAGTCTGTAAGAAATGAGAGCGCCTTTTTCTGGTTCGCTATTGTGGCTACTGTGATAACGGTAAGTTTAACAAGCCATTTCAGATAGTTTACATATTCAAAGTTACATATATAGAACTATGAAAATGGAAGTTATATCAAATCTCTTTTTTTTTATCAGTCGTTCATATGTGATTTGTAATAGGGTGTTCAAAAATATATAATTTCCTAAGTCATGACAAACATTTCGCCACTTGCGCCAAAATACATCGTTTTGACTGTTGTCATCATTTTTGTTTATTTGTCCCAAAAACTACATGGCTGGCTTTGATAAAAAATCATTAATGGCCAGTACATGTTAAGCTCATTTGTATCCTTACAAATTTTCAACTATCTTTACGGTTACTTACCAAAGTTGATGTTCTAATTGATTATTTAATTTTTTGGGATAATTATTATTTGATAGAAAACTATAGTTTAAGGATCCACTGAAACTCAGGCCATGCAACATATATATATTTCGTTTTTTCAGTCTGTTGTATTTTTGCCTCAAATTGCTCCCTCTTTTTTGATTCATTATTCCATGGGTAGCGATGTAAAATTGTAATGAAATATTTCCCACTATTTTGTTCTATTTGATTAGTTATTTTTTTGGGATATTATTTGACAGACCACTATAGCTTAAAGCTCCTCTAAAAATGAGGTCTGTGCAACCTAGTACATTATTCGTCTTTTCATTCTATTCTGTTTTTGTCTCAAATTGTTCTCCTTTTTTATAGGTGATAATCCTGACAATAATAATATTCATGCGTAAGCAAGTTGATTTCCTGGCAAACCTTTTCAAGGAAACATCCAAGTGCTTAATGCATTTGCCATCGTTATTTTTCCAGCCAATACTAACTTTCATCGCCTTAGCAGTTTTCTTCATGTTCTGGATTTTTGTCGTGGTAGGTATTTCAATTTCTTCATATTATAGTAGTATATCCACTACAAATGTTGGAAAACATGCTTTTTTTGTAGTTATGTCTGGCAACAGCTTCATACCCCGAAAAATCTGGTGTTAGTCAATCAGTGGCTTCAACTCAAACCAGTGTCCCATTTAATGCAAGCTTGAGAGAGATAAATCTGAATAACGTAGCAGATCAAATAAGAAGTAAGTCCTTGACTAATTTGGTTGATCTTTTTTTCCAAATGTTTGTACGAGTATATTGATTGCATACTAGTGCATGCATCATTCATTTCGCATCATCTATGCACAAAACTTCACTTATCCAGTATGATACAATACATATTGTGCAATGAAAGTCTTATAGGAAGTGTTATCGATATTGGCTCTGCCTGTCCGACTATGAGTGATACATTAAAGTAGCGCGTCACTGTTGCCATTAACAGTACGTGTAACGTTTGACTTGTATGATATTAGTGACCACCTGCTGTATCAGGTTGATTTTAATTTTTATTCTTCCGCAGTAACAGTGATTGAATACGTGGATGCCTCATGGGTAAAAGGCATGTGGTGGGTGTACTTCATTGGCCTTATCTGGACGTCGGAGTTCATAATGGCCTGCCAGCAAATGGTGATAGCAGGATCAGTGGCTCATTGGTTCTATCGGCACAAGTACAAGGATGAGGCACATATCTGCTATGCTACTGGAAAGTTGGTGAAGTATCATTTGGGATCGGTTGCATTGGGTTCACTGCTCATCACTATTGTCAAGATACCTAGGCTTATCCTCATGTATCTGCATGAAACGTGAGTATTCTGTAGAATCTATATAGTTCATGGTGACAAAACTTTGAACATAACAAATATTGTCAAGTTGTTTGAGCAATTTTAAAACATTTGTTTTTTGACAACTTTGCCGTCACTGTGTCAATTCCCAAGAACTTTTCGTCATTACTGTGATAGTAAATTGTAAACCAATAAACTTCTTTATTTTTTATTTTTCTTTTACCAGATGGAGCAGGGGCAAAGATAAGGGTAGTGAATGTGCAAAATGTGGTTTGAAATGCTGCATTTGTTGTTTCTATTGCCTTGAAAAGTTCATAAGATATTTGAACCACAATGCCTATACAGTCATTGCTATAGACGGATCGAACTTTTGTAAAGCTGCAGGAACAGTAAGTAAATTTGCAACACTGTATTTCTTTTGTGAACAAAGTCGTTCTTAGTCTGGACGTATCATACTAAAGATGCATGACACTTATTTCACAGTTTTACATCTCACATATCCTAGAGCTAAAGTTTATTGATCTTTTTATACCTTATTTCACGAGTATCCATCACGCTTTAACGTCTACTTAGGTGAACAGCTGATCAGCAAGTTAGTGACAATTTGGTGTTAGTCTGCAACGTTGGCAATACTGAATCGGGTGTAAATCTAGTAAAACTTGTTTGTAGCGTTTTTGTTTTTTGCAGGCAAATTAACTTTCAAAATAAAAGAGCTTTCAGCAAATGCAAAATGAATATGTAGCGCATAATAAGACAAAACAAAACATGGCTCTGGCTTCCTGGTATTGACGGATCCGTCAGAATTATGTGTCCTTGTCGATATGTGGAATTCTGAAATATTACTAGGTAATCAGCTGTCATTCTATCATAATGGATACTTGTGAAAAAGGCAACTAATTTGAATAGGTTAGACGCACCCAGACCTCCATATCTGCAATTCCATAATAACGTACAGGGTGTCCCACTATAAATTGCCCCCTTATAACTTTTTTGTGTGTCCGTTTATTTATGGGTATGCGAGTTTAAAACCAGTTTCCATCCTAGCCGCCTAAGCAATCTGGCAGAGGGCCGGTTACATTATGACTGAATGACACATAAAATATAATTTATTGACCAAACTAATGAACACAAGCATGATAAATCATATATATTTTTTTGAGCAGACAAAAAGAAGACTACCATTCTTACTAATGATACTATTTAAAAAATACATCTACATTCGATAGCACCTTTTTGAGATAAAAGAAACATATATTGCACTCAGAACTTGATCGGACCCTATGCAGATTTTATGTACATTACTTTTTTTTATAAAAGTTGATTAAACAAGTTAAGAGGGGTTCAATTTATAGCAGGACACACCCATACATTTAGTGAATACTTTGGGCTATATTTGAATACCAATGGCTACCAAAGTGAGAAACAAATACATCAATGTATATTATTTTCTCTAAATGATATTACAGTAGCCAGTTGAACTGGGTATGCTCTCGTACAGGTTTGAGGTTAGATACCCAAAATTTTTTTCATCCAATAGCAGCAATGACGGAATACCGAATCTTAAAGATAGGACATCCTACTTGATTTCCACACGGCTTTTTTAAATAGCTATCTATGTATGTTGTGTTTGATTCGAGCATATCCCTAATGATACTCCAGCACTCAAAAAAAAATTACACTGGAATAGAAAATTAAATATATCTACTACAGTCCATGTGAAAGCCCATCGTTGACGTACATGCCATTTCACAACGTCAATAACTATCATATACATATTAAGACTTGAACACGATAAAAAGATCTGCTTTCGTTCCAGCTTAAACTTATCTTTGCTATCCACAAAGGCATTCACCACTGTTGGCAATTTTCTGGAAGAATTGAACTGTAAGGAAATTTACGCATTTTTACGTGTTTCCTCAGAAAAAATTGAATTCAATGTCAACAACAGTCAAACTGGCTACTGACACTTGATGGACTAATATGCACTTGATCCTACTACTGACAGATCGGATACTTGCTCCTTCTACCTAGTCCGAATTTATACAGAATATTTATATATATATATATATATATTATATAGATGTGTAAAGAAAGCTGTGATTTTTGTTACGTTTTTATAGGCATTCGAAGTGCTCGCATCACACGCCTTGCAAGTAGCAACAATCAACAGTTTGGGCGATTTCATCCTATTCCTGGGAAAATGTTTTGTGACTGCCATCACCGGATGTGCTGGGTTGGCAATATTCAGGAGTAATCCTGATCTTACTTTCTATGCTGCGCCAACGCTGCTAGTTTGCATTTTTGCTTTCTTTGTGGCACACTGTGTATTGTCCTTATATGAGGTAAGGCAATTTTCATGTTTTCTCATTTTTTGAACCTTATCGAGATATGTGGAGATTGTGAAAGAGATCTATTGCAACGTGATAAAATGAGTTACTCGTATTTTACTCTAATATTCATTAAACATATTTTATTGTGAGACATTTGCTGTTTCAGATGGTACTCGATACTGTATACTTGTGCATGTGTCAAAGTGGTGGCGATGCTCCAGATGGTATCCAAATGGCAAATTTAGGAGTCTCTCCTATGCCCAATGGCAACTCTGCTCCTGCCGAGGAGGCAGAACTACAGCATTTAGATAAGTAAGAAAATACCTGAGAATAGAGATGTTCACAAGTTTCATGATACATTTGTAACTACAAAAGTAAGCTTCACCTGACAGATTCATTAAAATGCAGATCACCTCCTGCAAGAGCAAAGTTTCACAGTTAATATTTTCCCCCCTTAAGCAGCAAACTTTCTTTCTATATTTTCGTGGACATCTCTTTAATTACATATACACTGTTACAATATCTCATTATATACATTTATTTGTAAAAACATCATGGAGGGAGTCTCATATATTTGGTAATTCTGTGTAAAGTTGCATAGATTAAAATAAATAAGAGGAAGCATAACCTTGCAGCCTGAGATATTGCAATACTGCTAAACTCCATATGCAATGAAAGATATAAAAATAAATAATAAAAATACTATATATATAAGCTGCTTTGCTCACAAAACAGAAAGTATGATGAGCATTTGCTTATCAACTTTAATCTTAAGCCTAGAGCAATAAGTAAGCTGCTGTATCTACCAAATGACCAAGAGAAGTAATAACTAAGTGGATTCCTTTTTTCATCTCATCAAATAGAACAAAAATACACCCACAATGTTTCTATTGATGTGTTTGGTGCTAAAACTACCACAAAATTATATTTTTATATCAGATAAAACATTTTAAATAGTCATTATTTATGTATCCACAATGTAAGCATTCTAAAATTCAAAATAGTATGAGCTGTAAACCTGTAATAACTGCCTGTATGTCAACCACTATCTTTTTTAATTATTTTACTTGAAAGAACACAAGTTAATTGTATGTACTTAAGAAAGAAGTACTGTTGATGTTATACTCGTATAAATTAGATTATTTTGAACCAAAGTTTTCAACTAAGTATTTGATATTGATGTTTGCACAATGTACAACTCAATAAATTTAAGACTAATAAGCATTTACTAAACAATCATTTTTTAAGGTATACTGATTTATCAATGTAATTTATTTTATTTATGTATAAATCTTTATATTAGGACTAGGTGTAGTTATAGTGTTTTATATCTTTTTAATCATTTTAAAAACTTTAATTTCACTGTTATTAATATTGTTTCCGAAACAAGTCTTCACTACTACAATATATTTATGTCTATTTTTCTATTTGAATAAAGTCCTGAATAAAGTCTCGAGCCTTTCATATGTACAGATACATAAGTACCTCCAGATCTATTTCTGTCTTGTTCAGATCTGGGTCGGGAATAGTCGCTATTGTCGGGTGGATTAAATCAAATTAACTTGGCAACATTATTTGGTAACACCTGGAACGAGAGTAGTCGATGCCGCTGGGTAAATTGACTAATAATAATAATAAATAATCTTTACTGATGTTGGGCATGCAAAAGCACTCAGGTACGTCAAAAAAAAAGCTTACAGTGAACAAGAAAAAGTACACACTCAGCATTAATACTAAATAAAACAAACCAGGCAAATATATAAAGAAAAAATAATCATTATATGTCGCTGAAGTCATTGACCAGAACGTAGTCAATACTATAAAAAGCTTTCTGTTTTAGGTATGATGACAGTGTGGTCTTGAACAATGCAATGTCCAACTGGATCTGTCTATCCTTCTGGATGGACATATTATGGTATCAAGTCGTAATTGTGGAACTTGAGGTTCCTGTCATAGTTAACGTGTTTCCTGACATGTAACAGTCACTCTAGGATGTACGCACAAGGTTAATACACCCAGAGAAATAAACTGTTTCATACAATCATTCCTATAGAGCGTGTTCGAGATGACCCTGACGCATTTACTCTGGGCAGCAAACACAAAGACTTGTGAAAGCATGATCACCATCGATCTTTTTTGCCAGCACCGAATGTACCAACACTATACTCCACATGCTTATCCACTAATCAACCTCACTACCAAACCACATCGCTACACTCTCTTGTCCTACCAGATCGAATCACTTTTATCTTTAAAAGGGACAAGTGCCTGTTTAGCAATCAATCTACAGCTCCCGTCAAGAGGTTGAGCGATCCTCTACTTCTTTGCAGTAGCTAGTCCGTCTGACGTTCGCCAGAGCCTCCTTGAACCTCTTGGCCTGCCTGGAGTCACCTCTCTCTCCCTCTCACTCTCTGCCCTTTTATATGCCAAAACATTCAGAGCGGAGTTGACCTGGCGATGTCTCCCACTTACAATAATCCTAGGCTCAGATCCCTCGACCCCCAGTCTAGCCAATCAGCTCTCTCGTTACCCGGTACTCCATTGTAGACACTTTTAATATTATGACTAACACACATTTATAGTTGATACAAGTTTGATGAATATAAAATCAATAATCTTCATTAAAAATTTATTCAAAAATAATGAATAAACAATAATATTTTATTCTATATTATAATAGTACTAGGATATTCTGGGTATGAACAGTAAAGTGTTGATCGCGTTTTTCCATGGTAAGTTGATGATGCTCTGTAAAGGAAATTGTTCCAATAATGGGTTATGACAGCAAGTTTGATCAGGTAAAAATAACTTCTAAGCCTCCTAGACTCTTTAGATTGCTTTAAATCGGGTTGGAGCAATCAGAACATTTGATAAGCATCACATTTTCTCTACAAAAGTAGATTGCAGGACATGCTGAGAAAAGCTCTGTATTTTGGAAAGAGGTCATTTTTTCACCATGGCACATGAATTTGATTTTTTTTCTTGAATTCACACTTGTGATTAAGAAACTTTCTGCAAGTTGAGAGGGGCCGGGGAAAAACGAGACCAAGAAGCCTACAGCTTGTTAGGTTAGCCTTTTAGCTATTACCTGATACCACCAAGCATGTATACTAAAAAATTATATTAAGTGAATTACACAAAATTTACACATGCCAAACTGAAATTTTCCACTAATTCTCAGCCACAACATCCTACTTCTTGGCATCCTTTCCATCACTTGGTTTTTCTTCCTCTTCCTCAGAACTTTCTTCTGTGGACTCCTCTTCATCATCATCGTCGTCATCTTCATCGTAGTCGTCATCATCCTCGTCGTCATCTTGATCACCATAAGCATTGTCATCTGCATAATCTCCGTAACTGCCGTAACTATAACCACCGCCAGCGCCAGTATCGTCATCGTCCTCGTCATAGTACGAAGCTTGACCCTGCCTGCCGAACTTGTGGCTGCGGGCTAAAAACAAAAAAAAGAGTTTTGGTCATTGAAAAATAAAGGTTGATCCTACTAAAACTATCAGAAAAAATTCGTTCATAATAGAGTTATAGTCATTAGTTAAATGTGTTTGGCAACCAATCACTGTCCGTAATGGGACACAATGTTGCTGCACTTCACACTGTTGTTTTCTTAGATTGCGAGTTTCTTTTGGACGCTAAATGTAAAACCTCTTCAATTTATAGAATTCCAATAAGTAAGCATCAGTTTATATGTTGTTTTGCATGGAAACTTCGCGTGGGTACACTCCTAATCTATTTGAATTCATTGGCTCCAATTGAGTCTGGTGTATAAGCAGTTTTCTGCTGTTAATGCACCCATCCAAATCAGACTGATGATTGCAAGTAGTTGTGAAAATGATTACTTGAATAGACCTCTTGTTTCACAAAATGGGAAGTTGTTATAACATAATGCTATCAAACTGTACTTACTAGACATGCTCAGATCCTTGGTCTGAGAGGTATCATATCCACATTTTGGGCAGGGAATAGCCTTGTTCTTCTCATACTTGAATCCTTTCCTTCTGACGTGATCCTCACAATAACAGGTTTTGCATCTCAAGCAAGAATACTGCCCCAATTTGTTGCAGGACTGACCTGGATGTAAATTAGAGAAAGTAACTTTTCCTACTTGTATTCCTCAAAACACAGCTCAATACAGGTTATACTGGGAATTTATGTGTTGTGAATAATTGACATTGAGAGGCTGTGTGCCTATATTGACCTTGACAACCAGTAGCACAGTTGTCAGTGACAGGGGTTAACCAGACTCCAGGGGAGTACCAAACTAAATTATAGTCTATGGTAACATGACTGCTGACTTGAAACAATGTTATAAATTATGACCATGAAAATAAATTGATATTATGTTCATACCATGAGACAACTTACATTTATAATTTTCTGATTCAAGCACCTGGCAGGAAGCTTGATGTTCAAACTGGTCATCTTCACAAAGAAAGTTTGTACAGAAAGAGCACTTGAATATTCTACCTCCATGGTCCCAGACAGCCCTTTCACATTCTATGCAAGTGGCATCTTGCAGAGGACAAGTACACGCATGGCTTTGAAGGCATTTGCGTCCATGACATACCCAGGCTTCACAAAAGTCACAGATGGCACCCTAACAATGATCACACAGTACTTAATTTACTAACTCCTAAGGGTGTTTCAACAAGTACTTTGAGAGTTTGTCTTCAACTTAACCTAATAATTTTGGAAAAATCTCATGCTCATTTATATTATTAAAAAGTGATATATGGAACCAATGTCTTTTAGAAGTGCCCCCTCAGGTCAGCTACAGATGACTATATTTTATCTTCTGGCATAATAAGGAATATACATGTACATGATTTGTATTATCTCTTCTCTCAATTATTTAATATAATAAGGTAAGAACATATTTCATTCATGGAAGTATCTGCATTTAATTTTAATTACAGATTCAAAACTGAAATGCCAATGACAATTTAAACATCAATTCTTGGCATGTTTCTCAGTGACATTATTACTCTCCAAATATCATTTGGTTGCCCATTTGCTGTTTTAATTTAAAAAAAAGCATGGATGGGGAAACATTATAAGTACTTGGGTTGCAAGCATTGAGTTTGGATGGGATTTTGGACTTTCCAATTCTTTTTGAATCATAATAAAATGTTGCAAATCAGATTATGAATGTTTACAAATTGTTTAAATTAGGAAAAGCAGGAGTGCTATATATAAGAAATTAGTGGTATACTTACTACCATGCCCATTCCTGTAGTATAGATACCAGGGTGCCTAATTACACAGTCACCAGTTTTCAGCATGCATTTCATTTTACCACACTGGGCACAAACTGGTAACCTCTGAACACTTTGGCAAAAGTAGCAAAAGGCTCTATTCCTCTGTTTCCTAATGAAAATAAAGATACTTTTATGTCCACATATTCATAGTGGGGTCAATGGGAGAAAAGTTGAGTAGCATCATTCATCACAAAAAATTCAATCTCATTTGGTTGCTGCTGGCCAGAGGATAGAGGGAATTAGAGTGATGGGGTCAGTTAGGTATAAAGTTGTAAATGGTTATGAGAAGAATTCCCTAACACCCACCTGTGGCACTTTTCACATTCCATAGGGATGTTACATGGGTGCTCCGCTAGTTGTATATTTTCCTTAGCTGTTCGAATCTCCTTTTGTCTCAAACGCTGCTTCTCAGCTTTCTTTCTTTGACCGGTTTTCTTCTTTGGCATTTTATAAGCGTGTTGATAATCAAAATACCGTAGATATAAAAAATTCCAGCTTAAAAATCCACCGTGTCGTGTCCACTTTTCCACACTACCACCGGTTGTCAACTGTCAGTGTCAAAACATAAGTCAGTCATCAGGTGTCTGTCAAACTTTTAAATAATTGTAGAGAGATGGGCCGCGGTTCGATAGTTGTGTTCGATAGTGCTTTAATAGTGCTGGCTGGCCCGACTTGGTATCAAGAAGGTGACTCTGTACTTCCTACGCTACGCTGTCATCAGTTCGTAAAGGATTATGTTTATGATTATGTTTATCACAGGTTATCCCTTCCGAGAAAAAAGTTAGCTACGCACATGTATAATAAGAATTTAAATGACGTTCCTCCTTCCGCTGCAGGCGCACATGATCATTGCGATGTCCAATTACTGAGGTTGGAGGCGTATAAATATACCAACTTACCAACATCAAAAAGTTGAGATATACCTCCCCCCACCCCCTCAACCCCTAACCACCAATTTTTAAACCCCACAAAAATGTTACCGAAAATGTCCAGGATAGCCTGAAGGGTCAAAAAACGAAGTTTGAGCGATTTTTTGTTCTTGTCCTTTACAAAAGTTATAAGCGGTTATAAGATTAGCGGACAGACCGATAGACCAACGGAAATAAGTGACCAGGTTTTTTGTGATATGTTACCTTGGAAGTAGCTGTCATTCACTTCATGTTCACTTGTATTAGCTGTGTGTGTTGCCTAAACATCATGACACTATATAGAACTGTACTTTTGGTTCTTATATGTGATGTAAAGGCGTAATTCCACAGAGACAACAATGAACGACATGTGGCATGCTGCTTGTTTCCTAGTGTTGCCTCTTGTTGACGTTCGACAGTGTTGCCCAAAATTCTATTAATGCCGCATGCGGATTTTGTTCCCCTATGTGGCATGCGCTTTGGCGTACATGAGTGTAGCATGCGTCTTCACGATTCAATTCAAGCGACTCCAGTTTAGTACGTGATGTCATTACAGACAGTCGCGGCGGCTGCTTATTTAGTAATTTCTTCGGATCGGAAAAGAAAAAGTAAAACGCCAGAATATTGGAGAAGAAATGTATACGTAGATGGTCAAAAAATTCAGTACAATTTGTACAACAATTTCCAATACTGAACTGTTGTATTTTCCTATTTAAAGAAGTCAACCGTTAATAAATAAGCCAACTATAGAAAGAAAATGAGAAGATGTTTCCTTCTTGTCCCCCGGAAACCATCACCAACCGCAGACAGTACTGTTTCGGGCTCATTAGCTCTCGTCAGTGCGGTATGGGTCTGCTCGTCCACTACTGGTAAGTCAAGGAGACAGCTGGACAAGAAGCAAACAATCATATATATGACTGAAGCTAGCAAGTGGCAGTAGCCACCAACTATTTTTGCGTCCTGTAATGTATCCTGCTTTTGTCGTGCATCTGTATATCTTTTCGATTTGTTATTCCATAATTCATCCGAATTATGGTAAACTTTAATTAAAGATAATGTTTCTTCATTGGTCCACTCCATTTTGTCGTCTGCTACAAGCAGCACCGATTCGAACGGGTTTGTATAGCCGGCGACACTGATCAACACGTGGATTCATGTCACTGACGGCGCCATCGAGAGGCAACAACGGGCAAATTGTGGCATGCGGCAAGGAGACATTTTTTTTGTCCCTTTGTGTTGCCTCTATGGAATGACAGTGTGCCGCATGCGTCAATGCCGTATGCTACATGTTGCCCAAAAGTTGCCTCAGTAGCGACTAGCTACTATGCAGACTGCTTTTTAACTGCTTTAAAAATCTAGCCGTACTTATCGCTTTTTTAAAAATCAGAATGACGGCATCCACATTGTTTAATAGATCAGACTAGATCGCTAGTTGGAATAAAGGAACCAGTCAGGTGGAAATAATTCCGCCATCAGTTTGGCTGATACCTGCATCAGGTGAATTAAAAGAAATAGTGTGGTGAAACTAACACTGAAAGTTTATTCGCGAAATGCGTTTGATATGTCGAACGATAATAGCTAAAGTCAATAGTCTGGTCGAATTAACTCCAAAAGATCATTAGACAGACATTTCGAATGATAGTGCCGACGTCATCAGGCGGTTAAAGGTATATACTTTGGTGAATTTATCTTTGCAATTGTGCAGAAACCCCGAATTGGAGTAGTCGGATAGTTTAAAGGATATAGTCTGGTGAAACTCACTTCACAATCAAAAGCCTATGCAAAAATTTAGAACAGAAGTAGTCATTGTCGAGGTGCTTGCTCTCGTCATTTCTTTAAAATCTGACTGACAGACGCAACTTAGTTACAGCATATACCACTTTTTTGCGATTACATACATAGCTTTGCGCAAACTGCTACTCACTCGAGTCGTACTTTGAGGTTGTTGGATTTTGAAAATAACTACAGGACATAAAAAAAGGAAATCGGTATGGTAGTAAGCAAATAACTATACAGTAAGATTTTATATATACGAATTCATTTCTTTAATGAAAATAATGTACAAGTAGTGTTATTATTGCCTAGACCACAATCTTGCAGTAATATAATACACATCTGAACAGGGCCGCCTCACACTTGCCGTTAATCTATTTTCTTTTTACATTCACATTTCATTATTAGGTTTAAAAATACTACCATAAAACAATGAGAACAATTTTACTGTCACATAACATATGTAGAAGTACGAATAACTCATTCATTTTGTTCCTGATGAAATGTGTTTTATTTTCTAATACATGTCCACGGTACACTACACACATATACATACCTATATCTACAATACACATATAAAATCTTTTAATCCAAAATATCCATTAATATTATTCCAGATAATATAGCAAAGAAAATTAATTTGATGGAAAAGTTACATTCATGTCTACCAAATTTGTATACCTGTTTACTTTCACATAACCGACGTATCAATGTCAAAATTCACAGGTTCTCTGATATTCCTTTATGACTATCCATATATAATTATAATATTCAAATATGGTATTTTGAAGTTGAAGACAAAAAATAATTGAAGTGAGTAATTGGAGGTATCAGATATCCTGTGAATGTCACAAAAATGATCTCTAGATTGTTGAATCGTTCAAAATACTCTGTTGGTTTTTCATGACAAAACTTCAGCCCACACAGCTGAACGGACTTACGTGTTCCAATTGCTTAGATATTTTATCTCAATTCTATCATGAAAAAGACAGAGCAAACAGTGTGCAAGTTACATGAGAAGCAAAATTTCCACATAGACTACTAAGAAAAATCAATCAATGGAACATCATTTACAGTAACACAAAAAACTTATTAAAAGCTTTGTAGCAATTTGACTTATGAAGTCTCAGCCTCTCTTATCAAAACTGTGTATTTAAGTTGTGATATGATACAGATATTATCTCTTCAAACCTCAAAAAATAACTAAGAGCAAGTCAGCGCATGAGGTTAAAATACTTATTGTTTCTGTACAAATAGAAAGATATGTCAAATTGAATTACTGAGTCGCTTATAGTTATTTTTCACTTCAATATTTATTGTAATTCGCCATTCGTTTGGATATATCTCTGACAATTAGATTCAGACAGATTCAGTGCACATTAAGGCCCGGATCAAGCATACCTTATTTTTTATCTCAGTATCAATATAAGAATATGCCCCGTCAATTCTTGGGTCATATTGATTTATCATTTAGTTTTTTATTTTTAGAAAAATTAATACATCAATGAAATATAGCAGTCTTACAAGGCAGTACGTATGATGCAGGAGTAGTGTGAAGTACGTATCATTCAAATCAGTTTTTGGATTAGAATTCTGAATACTACAATACATTTCTGTATTTAACCTAAATGTACAGGCTTAATCCCCTGAAACTAACCTGAATAGTAGATGTATCCAAACAAAATTAATTCGCAAAAAGTCTTACTGTTTCTATTGGTGCAATGCTGAATGCATACTCAACAAAAACATTTTTCATCTATCTCTGATGAGTTAAAATATTGAATCTCTCTTTTATTGAATCCACCCATATTCATCCATCTACTTCACCGTGATACCCAAATATGTATACGGTAAATATATGTGTGCGCGCAGATCATAGAACGAAATAAAATATCACACATGACAAAGACCCTATTCCCACCATCGATGAAAAATTAACAATCAGGTCTTACTGAAATTCAATCAGTCGAATACAGAGAGTAAGTTAGAGAACATTTATTTTTTCAGAGATAGTAGGCATGAACATACTGGAAAGATTCATCTCAAGCCCTCAGATCCAATAAATGTACGCAATAATCTTTCCCAACTTTTAATTATTATTCAACGTCTAAACGACAGAAATATGAAGACTTATCTCTGAAAATATATATGCAACTACTTGTTAAAGCAAAGTCACGAAACATTTCTGATATCGACATTACACCGTGCATCCTCACCAATAATAATATCAACAATTAATTTTAGTTTATAGGAACTTGAAACATCTCTATATTGGTCCTCCTACTACTAATATAGAAAAAGAACCAAATTCTAGATATATATTTACACTGACATACACATTTATTTTTATGATGAAAGATTACGTTTAAAAGTCATATTAATCTAATAGTCCAATAAGAAACTGCATCATGTCAATTATTTTAAGAAAAATCATTTTATTTTTGGTGTCAAATGATTCCAACAGTGACGTTGATGCCATTTTTGATAAATATGAACCTGATATAGTTTATTTCATCGTTCTAATATAATACTTCAGAAGACCTCTTGTTATCTCTTGGACTAAAAGCTAAAAGACGATACTTCACTTATATTTATATAATATTCTTCTTGTTACCACCTGTCTTGACGTCACTATCTACAAGATATTTTTTACAGTACTTGTTCTCAACAAATGTCATCCTCAAATATAATAAATTTTATGAGACCCTGCTTTACTGAAGAATGCCATTTGTCAAATTCTACTATTACTATCATTAACTTACCACGTCCCTAAAAACTGTTATTACCAGCTATTTACACAAAGAACAAATAAACAAAAAGAGCAACAGAGACATAATGTACAATTGAAAAATTATTTAAAACAGTTAAGATATATAATCGCTACCTACGTACATACATGATACAAAGTCGTATATTTGGTATAAATGATTAAATCGTACTTACAGAGATAGAGTCGGTGAGTTTGTAGTGAGTGCCACTCTCGATGTAATCTACATTCATAATTGAAGCTATAGCTATAGCTAATGGTCAGTGTTCCAACTTGTGAGTTTCGAGAACCATTTTCACTCTGTCGGGTTTACCATTACACTATAGCGGCTTTTCGTGAAAAATCAATTATCAAAGTAGAAGAGTTCTATGTGATGTCTATTTACTATTCATAAATAAGAGGATAATCCTTTTTTCAATAGCAAAAACATATATGTTATGGGTGCCAGTAATAAATAGTGGTATGCTTGATATTTCTGTTTTACGTGATTATGTTCACTCAAACAGTTTTTTATATCGATAAAGATACCAATGGAAAATTGTACCACAAGCTTAACTCACTACACCTTGGTAGGCATTTTCAGTAATGTTCATTCTCCAATGCGAGAGAACTGATTTATTTCGAAACTAAACAGTCGAGAATAATGAAAATCATAAAAACTTCGGGAGTTTGATATGTATTTTAGAAAAACAATTAAAATCTTTTTCCCTTAAAACCAAGTGACACGCCGAAAATGCTTACCTAAACTCGCGTTAAAAAAGTAACAAATACTATCAGTACCACACAGCATGATCAAGCTGCATTTACAATTCGTTACTGTCCATTGCACCTGCTTGCGTGAAAAAAACGGTTCCAAACTACAGAATCACTGTTGGAAATAGCGAATATTTTAAGACATCTTTTCTATCTGCTTTTACGCTTTCAATAGACTTTATTAATGACGAAATAACACTTCTAGTCGGTGAAAATACTTAATCTTATGTAGCATAGAATATTCCGTAATGACCTTATGCTTTATATGTAGTTTTTTATATATAACCTCATATACAAGGTGTCCTAGGAAAAGATGTCGATTTCCGGAAACATAGAACACATAAATAATACTTATCACACGTTCCTATAAAAAAGTCATACCGGGCTCTCCTGCAAAGATTCAGGCCTCTATACAGGTGTCCTCAAAAATGGACCTTCCTTTACACGGCGTATAGATCTTGGGAAAATGATCAGTTTTTTTTAGTAACATGTACCCAAAGTCTTAAGATCACCGAGATATAATGCGCCCCAAAATAAATCAAGCCTAAACAAAATCTAATCCGGTCCTGCACATCGATCAGATGAAACGTGCGCATCACTACTCATTCCAGGTGATTGCTGCGTTGGTATACAATATACATAATCTTTACACATCGGTTATAAAAAAAAATTGTAAATTGCACACTGATACAGCAATGTCGGTCGGAGATGTCCAACTTATTTTAACTTTCGGTAAGTGTCTTCGAAATGCTAACGAAGCTTCGCGAGTGCATGCAGATCGATTTTCGTGTTCTTTTTTTTATTTGGGGTGAAATAAAACGTTTAGTGTATAAAACTGAGGTGAACACGGTTGACGAACTACTTGTAATTTAGCATTCATTCGGGAAAGGCAATCCGTTCTAAAAGCCTACGACGAGCTCATACCTGTGCCTTTGAATTTATCGCAGGCAACTTTGAACAATACCTCCAGGTGACAGGGCTGTACTTGAAATTTTTTTGCATTTACTTTTTTTAACTTTTTCGATATTGTTTCACTACCCATTAGATTTGTTATTAAAAACGTAGTTGTTTCTGAAAAGGAAAGACCCAACTTTCAGGACATCTTGTGTAAAGGCCGCCACAGGAAATCGGTTTTATTTCTGTAACTTTTGAAAGAGTTCATTAGGCGAAACTTTTACAGTGTATTTACTAACTGTCTTGTTCCTCTACGGTTGTATCAGTTTTGTTACCGGCTCAGTGATGGGCGTTTACGCGTATACTTTAATTGTCGACGTTTCGATGTAGATAACGTATACAATGTGTATATAATGTAAACATTACATATACAATGCATACAATGGTGTAGACTATGTATAGAGTAGCATACGTGAGGTTAGGTTTACTTTCATTTAAAAACAATACCTATGGCTGGGCGTGCGAAAATATTGACGATGCTGACGAGCTGAATTAAATTAGTCAAATGAGGGGATTTTATTACAAGAATCTATTTTATTTCATTTTAGAGATATTCCTAATTTATTTGAAACTATAACTTTGTATATATAAATACTAAATAACTTATAACTATTCTAATTGTTCAAATAACACTTACAGGTGTTGCATATATGATTACAAGCGACCTAATTGAAGTATTTTGCTATTGTATACATCGCTTACATTGTCTATATGAGTATCAAGACGTATACAATTATAAGTAATTGTATAGGGGTACACAATGGTGTATGGTGTATTTTCCCTGATGTATACAATTCGCCCATCACTGTACCGGATTCAGTATACTGTTTCCGCCCTTTTGATAATACAGCAATTATACTACTAGATTCATAGTTTCCTGCCCAAGAAAATCACACGAGATAAGATCCCTTAAGCAAATTTTGGCTTTTTGCAAAAAGTGCTCATTTCATCGAATTTAAACAACAATACATTTCTTCAGCTAGAGGATCAGGCTTTTCGAAACCATACTTGTAGAAGAGCGATTTTTATAGGAACTTGAGGCACTACTTCTTGCATTCCATATGGTCCCGAGGGATTGACTTTCTCAGATCCTTTATCCTGTTATCGCATAAAATCATTTCAAAATCTAGTAACCACAACACGCTATTTGAAACAGAGTTCTGGCAGTTTACGCTCTAGAAGAACACGTTATCATTCCAAAAACCACTATTCGAGATAGTGATCGGCGAAAAAGTTAACCGACTGTCATTCCTGCTTGACCATGACGTTGGGGTTGAAACTGTGCCCGCCTGAGGTGACTAGTGATAGCGGGCTAGTAGCTGCCAGAGTGTTAGCGATATGGAACATGGCCCCATTTGTGTTGGGGCCACTGACTGAGCATGGACTGCCCATAGCTGCTGTAGGAGGGTTGATTCGCTTCTCTTTTTGGCGACGGTTGCAAAACCATACTCGCACCTGCAAAATAAAAAATGCATGTGGTAATCTTAACGAACGGCAGTAAACTGCTAGAGCTGCAAAAGGTTGAAACACAGAAATATCAAAATATGTAACAAGGTGTGGTGTTTGGTGCATTTCAATAGGTTATGGCATCCTAAATGCATTTTCGTTTAGTTTTATGGGTATCCAAATAGGTACCATCACTTTCAGAATAGGTGGATTCAACTTTTTCAACCAAAGACCAAGATTCTGGTGAAACTGGACAGAAAGCTCATCACTATGCTGGTAAATTAAAATACTTAACAGTATGTTTCGATTTTGGTCCAATACCTTTAAAATTTGTGAGGCAAAAATATCAATTAGTAGTACGGTCTCTCAGTTCTCTCCAAACCATTGGTACCGCAAAGGGCATTTTACGATTATCGCCTCTTAACCAACCTTTTAACAACGTTACACAAGTCTTACAACATATATGCGCCAACTTTAATTTAAAAATAAAGTTCGTATGCTTTCAACACAACGTCAGTAAAAGTACGTTTTTGGGATTTAAAAGTTAGCTCTCCGCACCCATAACAAAAACTGTTCGCACTATTTACATAATTTCTAGGCATTGTCCATAAAGCTAGTCTCAATCACAATAAACTCAAAACAACACACCGTGTAATACTTACAACTTCTTTCTCCATACAAAGTCCATCAGCGAGCATAGTGATCTCTTCGGAGGTAGGCTTGGGATTTTGCATGAATGCCTTTTCTAAAGCCACTCTCACACTGGTCTCTATGGACGTCCGCTTCTTCCTCCGCCTGCCGATGGTCTCAGGGGTAGTGAGTGGATTACTGAGGGCTCCTGGGTTAGTTAAAGTACTGTCAGCATCTTCGAGCCATTTTTGAAGTAGCGGCTTCAACTTGCACATGTTCTTGAAGCTCAGGTTCAACGCCTCGAATCTGGAGATTGTCGTCTGGCTGAAGTCGTTGCCGTAGAGCTTGCCCATTGCCAGACCAACGTCTCCTTGGGTGAAACCTGCGAATAAAATAATGGATTAACATGGGCGTCCGGAGAGTAGCAAATATACGAGGTAGCAAAGTATTAATTCAGAAATTCAACATTAAAATATATAGAAGCAGTTCTAGGCGAAACTACCAAATCACTGAAACAATTAACGATTTCCCAAGTATTTGTGTTGGACGAAAGTTTCTCAGGCATTGCCCTTTTTGAACACCAAAAACGGTTGGAATAATTAAATATGATAAATAAGAATTACTTGTTAAGAAAGCACAACAAACTTTTAAATAATTATAATTTTTTTAAATTTGAATATATCGCCACTTACCTAACTTAATCCTCCTCTGCTTAAAAGTCTTAGCAAACTGCTCCAACTCTTCCAAATCTGTCGTCTCCTCCGGCGAAGGTTCTAGTATCCTAGTACCCTGTGGTGGCTTCATGTGATGCGTAGGCGTGGCTATATGTGGTCCGCCTCCACTAGTAGGCGTGGTCGGAGTGAGCAGGCCAGCCGGTACCGACAGTTGCCCGCCTGCGTGGGCGGTGCTTGGAGGCGTGGTCTGCGTCGTGACTGGATGATGTTGCTGCGTGGGGGCGTGACTTGTGTTCAAAGTGGGGGAGTGGTGATGGTGTTGGTGGGGATGGGGGTGTTGCTGGTGTTGATGTTGCGCTTGCTGCTGCGCTTTCTGCAATTGTTGGAGCTGTTGGGCTGCTTGCGCGATTTGCTGCACCTGTAAATTGAATATGCGAAACATGTAGCAATGTCAACTGAACAGATTGATAGCGATTTAAGACACTTACTGTTCAAATTCAACCTAGGCATTAAAACTGCATCGAAAGATGATGTTGGGTTGGATTTAATTAGTTTCGTCAACAGTATTCTTGTTAACAATTCTTACGGCTCTTAAGTACAGCGACATTTCTATAACATGCAGTTGATGAAAAATTACACGGACAGTTTATATAAGTACCGAGACACAGGGTGTCGAAATTGCAACATTGAAATCGAAAAAAGTATACTACATTCGGAGCGGTATAAGATATTGACTTAAAATTTGGCAGCATATCAAATACATACAAACAGTTTTGAGCCTGAGATTACAACAAAGAAAATTATTTTCTACGCCAGTGAATTTTTGAATCAACTATTGCATTTATGAATAAGGAATTCAGTTTTACAACCTGTCTTTATAAATATTTCTCAGATTCCTCATCTTTTAATTGGATATTTGAGGTAAAATCCATACAAAAAGCTTCAACCCTTTTTACTTTGAGAATACGCTCAAGTTAGTGACGTTGTTTAAACAATACTCATGTTCCGTTCTTATTTAGTGTCATCACTTAGTAAAAGAGAAGAAATGATAAATTTTACATTAATGTACTTGTATTTTAAAAGTTGCAAACGACGTCAATATAACAAATGTAGATTTCGCACGAAAAATCCTCACTTAGAGTAAAACTATACGTTATTTGAAAGCAGCAAATATAAATGATTTACAATACAACCAATATCTAAGGAAAAGGAAAGTATGTTAGGCGAATGTGACACGATCAGTATTTACTGTGATCCGGCAATATTTATCATGAAATGTGATATCCACTGACCATACAACCTAGACATCAGTAATTACTGATGCATCAAGCAAGAAATTATCTAGAAATTCACAATCCACTGGCATTGACGAAGTGATCAGTAAATACGGATCGTATTTAGACGCGACGATATTCGGATATTTAAATTTGGCGCGTGAGATGATCACCTCTTGGAAGCGCACCGGGCGGGAGCAGGCAGATAAATTCATAATAGCCAAATAATTACAATGATCGGACTTTGCAAAAGGACCACGGTGGTCTTTAAGGTCTTTTCTTACTTTTCGGGTTAATCGGATATTGACAACCGCAAGCGGTTTGAATATACAGTCCTTTGAAGTATTGTGTAAGTCTCAAAATTTAAAACTATATGTATTGGCTATCAGGACATAGTTAATACAGTAGACATATAAATAGCTTTGTATTCGTAAAATTTTTCGTGTGTTGGTTGAGTTTTATATTTTATAGTTTATACACTATACGTAGAAATGTTGCAATTTGTGCAAAAATGTTAAAACAATTTTTCCATACATTAGTTAAGTACAGAACATTTCCACTAAACCTAGTGAGTATCACCTATCTATCAGATAGGAACTTGGCACTATCGACTTCATATTAGCCTTAGCAGCTCATGCCAGACGATCATGCAGAGTGTTAAATGTTTGTGTATTTGTATACAAGTGCTTGCAAACTGCATAGGTATACGGAGATAAGAAAATATTCGATAATTGTAGATATGACGGTAGATTTTTCAAACATATCAAAGATATATTTGCTATCTACGTATGTTTGCTTTGTTTTCTCTGTTTGTATTGCAAGGAGAAGTATAATTAGATGTAGAAGAAGTGTCAATTTAAGTGTTTGTGGTTCAAACATGCAAACTTGTCGTTAGGTAAAGAAAGCGAAATCAAAAGACTGCTCGGCTATTCAACATTAGACAGATGATAACTGCAATAAATAAATAATGTGTGTTGTCCTAAACGTGCAACATGTGTTTCCTCTATATTATACTTTTCCTATACATTCACCTGCATCGAATGAGGAGTTCTCGTTTGTAGACGCGACCTTGAAAATCCTTGCAGGAAACCCTTTAATGAAACAAGGCATTATATTACCAAATATTTATACTGTTTATTGCGTCATTAAAAATATGAAATTAGCATTGCTCTGGTCTGTGCCATCAGTCGGAATGAGTCTTTTTCCAGGACACTCATCTGAAGCCTTAAATAAGGTCTAGGTATAATATTTAATTGATTCAAAAGTTGGTCAAGAAAATTTCCAATAGATAACCTTTAGAGGGTGCTCTACACTGCGTTTAGTTCTTGTGAAAATAAGCAAATTTTTCCACTAACATATCCATCAAGGTTTGACGATAGGATCAGATAAAAAGCGGGAGCTACGTCAGTTACCAATACAGATGTTAAGTGCCTGAAGGTAAATCCAGATATCTGATAATAAAGTGGATTAAAAAAAGCAAAAATGACACATTCTCACAGCAATTACGAACTTGTCGATATGAATCTAGTTCATAGTGGGTATCTCCAATATAAGCTTCGGGACTACTTTCAGATCTTTTTCCTGGACATTTCCATCCAGCGCCGTGTAGATCTGTTTAACCCGTACAAAGGACGTTTGCGGATATATTGAGATGGACACAGTACAAGACGTAAATAGCATTCACATTCGGGAAAAGTTAACGTGTTTTTGAATCAAACTGCGGCTACTTTATACGGAAGGTATGCCATTTCTATTCCCAATTGAAAAAGCAAGACAATCAAGTTGTACTGATACATGGAAGAAAATTCTGTCATAGGCATCAAACATACTTGTAATGTTTGATATTCTAATAATTGTTTAATTACGATATGAACTGTCGTCGGAAGATGTTTTTAGATGTCCGTTCACTACCTCAAATGGTTTCAAAAACTCAATTTCTTCATCCGCGATTTTCGACAACCGGCCTCAGGCCGAGATTTGCAATACTCGACGCGATGACCCGTTAGCACACTACTGACATCTAAACACTAGTTTCAGAGATAAGGGATTATGACGTTTTCTTATGCAAAACCCATTAACACTTTATGGTAATAGTTTTTATGCCGCTGCTGATTTTTTGTGTCTGTTTGAAATGTCTTACCAAGTGAGCATTTCTTATTTTTCATTATTTTGCTGTCATTTTACCAGAGATTAGCTTTCTTGTTTCAAACGTAATTGTTTCTGAAAAGGATTGTCCGAACAACAACAGAACACCCTGGCAATTTCTGTTCCCCTGATTTGTTCCATAGAACCTCCCAACAGCACCCCTAGTAGCCAACTAGATATTATTATTTAGTTATATTGTCGATACTCACCTGGTTTTGAAATAGGAACTGAGCCTGCGTAGCGTTTATCTGCCCTTGCGCGCCTCCATTCTGCGTGTTTCCGCCCTGTTGTTGCAACATAGCGAGCTGTTGCAACTGATGCAACCCCTGCTGGGCGGGAAAGGCCGCCTGCAGCCCCCCTAACATCTGTAGATGGTTTCCAAACAGTCCGCCGAGACCTCCTAGGGCAGCTAGGGCCGCCCCTACTGTGGATTGAGCCGGATTCGCAGGAGTAGGATTATTCGAGGGCGTGGAAGGGGAGGGAGTTCGAGCTGTGGGCGTGGCTGTTGCAGGTGGCGGGGGTGGAGTGTGCGTAGAGGGGGGGACGGGAGGAGGTGCTTGCGGATGCAGAGGTGGAGCTGGGGTTGAGTTGGAGGGCGTGCCGGTCACCTAAAAAAGAAAAATAATGTTAATGTATTGCTTATAAAAGTTGCAAATTTTTTTGATTGCATATGGCTGTATGAATGGATAATGAGGGCTGCATCAATGTTTATAGTTGATGACGTTTTTGAAAAATGTATTCTTATTTGATTTCGATGAGATGAGCCGCCTCTCAGAAATACAAACCTCTACAAACTTTTATAGACGGATACGAAGTCCGGGATACTCGTGCAACCATTTTAAAAACAATGTACGGGTCTGTGAATTAAGTGACTATACTGGCATCGGAACATTCAATCAGGCAACACCGAAGGCCGGGCTTGGAGGGGAGACAGTTAAACATGTGATCCGTCTTCATCACAAGTTTGAACTCGCTCTAGCCATTTGGTTGTGCTTAGCGATTTTTTTGACACAGTTTTTTCTATTGTGTTCTAAAAATGAGCGGCATAAATTTCAAGCAACGGTGTGGTATCAGGTTTTGCTTCAGACTTGGGCACTGTGCAACGAAAACTCTTGCTAAACAGGCCTTCAGAGATAGTGTTTTGCCAAGAGCCCAGGTTTTTCGGTGGTTTAAGGCATTGTCAGAAGGGAGACAGAGAGACAGAGAGATAGAGGGACAGAGAGACAGAGAGACAGAGAGATAGAGAGACAGAGAGACAGAGAGACAGAGAGACAGAGAGACAGAGAGACAGAGAGACAGAGAGACAGAGGGACAGAGAGACAGAGAGACAGAGGGACGGAGAGACAGAGAGACAGAGAGACAGAGAGACAGAGAGACAGAGAGACAGAGGGACAGAGAGACAGAGAGACAGAGAGACAGAGAGAAAGAGAGACAGAGAGACAGAGAGACAGAGAGACAGAGAGACAGAGAGACAGAGAGACAGAGGGACAGAGAGACAGAGAGACAGAGGGACAGAGAGACAGAGAGACAGAGAGACAGAGAGAGACAGAGAGAGAGAGAGAGAGAGAGAGAGAGAGAGAGAGAGAGAGAGAGAGAGAGAGAGAGAGAGAGAGAGAGAGACAGATAGACAGAGAGACAGAGAAGTTATTTTGAGGGTGATAATATAAAATTGTAATTATACTTGAATAAAAAAATTTAAAAAAATCAGTCCCTACACTTAATTTACAGATCTCGTATTTTTGATAAGAGATTCGTAATCAGCGAGCCGAGAAACCCCCAGATACAACTTTCAGATCAGCTGACTCATCTTGTTGATATGTTATCAAAATTTTGTTGGATTATTCAGTGTTGACCTCCGTCAGAGTATAAAGTACCTACTACAGTCAAATACCAGAATTGATGACAGTAGCAGAAGTCATCGTGCGCCACTGCTTTGACGCTGTACCTTTTGATTACAGCTACCTTTCACAAAGAAGCGCCGCATTTTCGAAGGCCTCCGCGTAATAGCAGTGGCGTACGATGAGTTTCGCTACTGTCATCAATTTTGGTATTTTAATATAATAGAATAGTTCAAAGAATCATCCCTTGAATTTTCCCGTTGTTTTGGAAACACTCTGTAGGTATATGGCAACATTTGCTCTATAAAATGAATCTAATATTATATGAGAAAAATATTTCTTATGGTCCAATATTCACATAAACCTGAACCACGTGTTTCGTTGTATAAGTATTTTGCGGTGTACTTTTATTGCATTTCAGTGGTCAGAAAATAGTGCATTGATTTTTTAATTTCATAGTCACGTAGATCAACACAGTACGCAAAGTTGGCAACACCAACGTAGATCAATATAATACTTCAAATTGGTAATATCCAGAATGGGGATAACCAATAACATAATTATGGAAGCGTTTCATATTAATCGTCTCACGAACAGAGTTTCGGTTGTTTTCAAGAGCTTAAAACTGCTTACGTGACCAAAGATACCAATATGGATCTATGTGATTCCTAAGAAACAGCTATTTCACAAATCTCAAAGTATTGATAACGTTAATTCGTCAACAACGTCTCCTGATCGTCTAATTAAAATGTCTACGAATCTTACCAAACTCAGCGCCCAACTTCATGAATATGTAACACAGAGAACAACATGTACGAAACTTTAATCCGACAAAAATTGATCCAAATGATCGCAGTAAAATTTTAAATACAATAAACAAGATTAGATAAAAAAATATGGAAACTGATACATCTCTGGAGTGGCTACTTCAGTCTGACGGAAAGATTATGGAATTTGCCCCTGGCTTTGACGACGTATATACCTTTCTTGTTTACCACCAACCAGATGCTGTCTCCTATCATAACCACGCAAACGTCTTTTATGTTAAGGCCGAAGTCTAAACATTATACTGTTCCTCCAAACAACCTTTCAAAATCACATACAATATAAAAAACTATATAAACAAAAGTGTAGTTAACAATCATTAAGCAAACATTAATCGGCATAACAACGGTTACGAAAAACTAAACAAAGTGACAGTGAGCCAAGAGTGAGAAGCACAATACCCAGGCTGTAAAATTCACTGTTCGTATAAGGTTTCCCTTATGCTTTTTAATTTTCCAAAATTTAAATGTTTGATGACAGGGGACAACGCGTTGGACGTCATAACTGCATTGTAAGTAAAACCATTGCAAACATCTCCAAATTTCATTCCTTCTTTTTTAAATGTACCTATACAGTGCGTTTCAGAAAGGTCCCCCTCGACTTAATTTTTGAATGGCAGGGATATTATGTTCCTTTGAAAAGTGACACTAGGTCAGAATTTTGAGACATTTTGTTAGAGTTCTTACGTAATGTCATATTTTTCCTTCCAAATGTCAACTTGAAACTAGCTGTCGTTCACTCCATGGCCTATCTATTCGCCACTTGTTTGCATGGGCGGTCTGTATGGGTATTATGTAAAAAACCTTTAAAACGTCAAAACAAACCTATAAGATGTCATCCTACCAGGTAGTTTTTAGGGTCAAGTCATTCCACGTTTGCTCATTAGGATCATTGTGAATGTCCATCTATGGAGGAATCACTCAACTACACGCATTGTTGGTTGCATATGTTTTGTGAGGCCGAGTGGTCTGTGTCTGTAGTTTTTATATCTGAGAAGAAACTTGGTTGAATAGCAAGATCGCATCTGGATGATTATGTGAATTGAAGTATATCTATTAGGTGACGGGTTATTTATGTGTTGTCCTTTTTGAAGACAGGTTATGTTGGCACGTATATGGCTTGTAATTTAACAGTGTACAGTGAATACAATTATTTATCTATCAGTTTCGAAATTCAGCAAATTTGCATATGTAATTTCCAGAATGGATAAGAAAAAGTGGATGCGCAACTAATTTCTAGCTTTGAATCTCAATTAAGTGTATTTTAGACAAGAATTCAATGGAATTATCATCAACACATACAACTTACAGCTTAGATTTTACATTACATCAGAGCCAAACATTGGTAACTGAAGTCTCATGACGTTTAGGCAACACGTACAACTAAGTGCTAAGTTAACATCTTGTAGAAAAACCTACATAATGTCAAAAAAACCGATATAACTTTTCAAGATACGTAATACGCGCGCCGTAGGACCTTTGCCCATTAAGAGAAAGGGAAAGAGAAGAAAATAGGAGAAGAGCAAAGAAAAACAGAAGTGTTTAGCTTAAGAGGAAACACCTAGGCTTTTTGACTAGGTACATGGATTAATTTTGAGGTGAACTAACCAAATTTTGATTAAGGTTTTATTAGAGTGTAATGACTAAGAAGTTCTTTTATCCACATGACCTCTTTCTCTAAAAGGTTCAAATAAGACCTAGCCTCAAGTATTTCTCACATGTTTGGGGTGTTGCCGCCCCGGCTACATCATCCATGCTCAATGCTGTTCAGAGCAGAGCTGTCCGTTGATGGCTTCTCTAGCGAACAATCTCGAGACCCTTTCGTATCGGCGATCTAGCTTTCTTCTATCGCTACGCCAATGGGCTTTGCTCCTCAGAGCTCTCCTCCATAATCCGCCGTGTGATGTGCCAGCCGGACAAATCCGCCTTACTTTGGCCACTCATCTTCTTACCAGAACTGGCCGATACGACCTTCTTTGTCTCTAGGATACCGAGATTGTGGACTTTCTTTGGAATCCTCATAGTAGCCGCGGTGCCCTGGCCTTAGGCTTCTGCCTTCGCGGATGCTTCGGTATATAAAAGAATGTCATCAGAATAAGGAAAACGGCCTGGGATTTTAAAACATAAGTAAATATACCTGTTATTAAAAGATCGCAAACGGTGGTTGTGGTTTTGTTGTCTACGTCGGTAGTAATACCAAATGTCATTCTACCAAGCCCACTGATGAGCAAAAATATATTTTTAGAAACGGATTTCTTGCGTAAATTTGACAAACCGCGTTAAAATCTCCTTTTTCTTATATGACTTTACCTTGTTAGATACAATTTCCGACATATAGAAGCGCGAAACTAGCGCCTCAAGTGTCAATTGAACGAGACCAATCCAGAATATATTATTACATAAAACAAAAAGCTCTATTGATTGTTCGACTGCCGACATGTAAGCTGATACGAAAGATATAGAAGAAAAGTGAAGAGGGTATAAATGCATAAGAGGTGTATTAGCATGTATAAAGTGGCGTTTACGATGGCCTCCTGGCATTGATAACCTTGTTTCTCCTGACAATGTTGCACCGCCTAAGGCATATTCACTCAATTAACTCGTCGCTGCCTCTTCGTTCACGCAAATTCGCACGTCATCTGTTTATGGGAGCTCCAGCACTAATCGCTTCACTTCAGCGTCCATTGGATGGGTTATAGCTTCATTTGGATTATGTATTTGCGCAGTAGCAGGAGTAAGAAATTATGATGAAGAATAATAACTAAAGCAGCATTCTTTACAGAGTCAAATTGCAATAATGGATTCATAATGAGAAACTGTCGGTCTTTCACATGTTAAGGCTCTTACAATAATGTATTTGACTTTTGTGCGCTTAAAATTAGAATATGCTTCAATTTTATTTGGTATCCATATTACTCCAAACATGAAATGGCAATTGAGAAAGTGCAACGAGGCTTTTTGAAACTCTTCGCTTACAAGACGGCGGTACTTATTCTCCTAGGAATATACTTGAATGAATGAATTAATCTTAAAATTAGAGGCATCCCGGCCAGCATAAGGAGCCAGTGCATAGGCCGCTTAAGCGGGCCCTTATGCACCTCTACAATCCTTAAATCACAAGCCTCGCCCTTTTAGCGAAGTTGAGAATCGCCTTGAGTCCAAGCTCCTTGAAAGTAATGGACCCCAGTATAGTCTGCCTATAGTAGCTCAGAGCTTCACAGCGACACAAAACGTGCGCCGAGGTCTCTTCCTCTACTCCGCAGCGTTCGCACAAGGGATCCTCAGCCACCCCCATCACGTGCAGGTGACGCCTTAACGTGTTATGGCCAGACAACAGTCCCAGAACCTTAGGTTGGCTCTATCCAGAGATAGGCAGAAGCGTCCATCTTTAGCACTGGGCCCTTCAATGAGCTCTCGTGCCTGGCGGAGAGGTCTAGAGATACTTCTTCATTTCTGAGAGTGTTGTCTTGCAACCCACGTCTCCATTTTCCTCCTAGCTTTATGCGCGGTCACTCCTAGAGCTGGCTCAGGAGCAACGAGCTTGTTGGCTGATCCTGTTTTCGCCAGAGTGTCCGCCGTCTCATTGCCCCTTATCCCAGCATGCCCCGGTACCCATATTAACGATACCGGATGCCTCGCTGCGATCCAGAGCCTCACTGCATTGCAATACAAGACTCGAAGTAATCCTACAGGCAATTAATGCTTTCATTGCAGCCTGGCTGTCGGATAAGATTGTTGTAGGAATATACTTAATGAGCATCTTACTTTTATATTGGAATTAGAAAGTCTGGATCTAAGATGAAACTGTAATTCTATAACCATTTTGTATAAACTTTTACATAACTTAGACGCCAGTGTACTTTTACGAGTATCTAGGATTAATTTTTTGTGCCTTATATCATTTTTTACTTTGAGATCAGTTGTACTTTCGTACTTACCGCTAATTCAATTACCATGATAGTTTCAAAGTTATAGCGAATCGAATGTATAACGGAAAGGCGCTATTGAAACTAATTTCAACAGTCGAAATTGAGTTAGAATCAGGCCCTAGGTACATTGACAGAAATCGCTGTAAGTGTCCTTGTTTTTGTTGTTGAAAAGAGCCAGGTACTGCGCCATTACAGAAAGTTGCAAAGTTCCATTCATTATCCTCCACTGCGAGCCTGGTCTATTTACTTTTAGTTCTAGTAGCATCACCTTACCAAGAAAGTCGAATAGCTTACTAGGAAAAACCTGTATTAGATCTTATCTTTAGTACGTTTGGACAACAAACACGATGACGCTGTGGCTCGACATCCTAGCCTCCACGCCAAGCTTCCTGTTCAAAATCATTGCCAAAGTTGGCGTAAATGTAGATATTTGAGTCGTTGGATGCAATGTAGTGTGTCTGACTCAATATTGGTTCAGCCCAAAATTGTGAATATTGGATATTGACCTTTAGCGGGCTCATCGCTAAAACTGCGACTTTCTAGCGCTCATCTAACCGGCAGGGGTATTATGTAGTAAACCTAAAAAACGTCAAAAAATTGACAAAATGTCATCTTGCAGACTAGGAAGTTTCTGTGCACAAATAGTTCATTCCACGATTGTACGGTATGATCGCTGTGAGCGTCATCAAAAGCGTCCATCTACGGATACATGCATTGTTGGTTGCAGAAAGTTAAGTAGTGTTTATCTCTGAGAATATGTATAGATTTTGTGTATCGGTCTGCATGTGTATAAAATCATATTTACTATATTAGCTGTGTTCGGGTTATTTTTATGTTGTCCTTTATGAAGACAGGTTATGTTTAAAGTTATAAATGACGATTTTTTCCGTTTTTTTTTTGGTTTTCAAAAACTTTGAGGAGAATTACGGGGAATTACCACCGCGCCCGTGTTGTGTGTAATTACTATTAGCATATATGACTTTCAATGCAACAGTGTACAGTGAATATAATTGCAATATGTGGCAGTATGTAAGTATAAAATATAAGATTTCACATAAAGTTAATTACTCCACCAAACAGGGATTTTCTTTTCTTATCTCTTTCATTTTTGAAATTTAGCAAACTTGCATATGTAATTTCCAGAATGAATACCAAAAAGTGGATGCGCAACTAATTTTTAGCTTTGAATGCATCTCAAGTAAGTGTATTCGGGAGAAACCAATTCCGTGGTGCCAGCGAAGAAGGAGATAAGTCTATTTTTTAGAATTCTCTGTGATTCGACTTAAAGTTTAAGTATTGTTCTGGAATCGGGTATTTAAATACAGCCTTGAAATTTTAGAGGTAGGCTAGAAAGAAAAAATCTTTATTTAAGACAAAGAAATGGACATCCCATTTTGAACAAATTTTGACTTATCCCCTTTTCCAGTGGTACCACGGAATTATATTATTATCATCATCAATACAGATTTTTAGTATTGTACATCACATCAGAGCCAAAGATTGACAGCTGAAGCATCATGTCGTTTAGGCAACACGTATAGCTACAAAACGACTTCACAACAAGTGTACAACAACTAGTGCTACGTTGACATCTTGTAGAAATCCTACGTTGTCACAAAAAACCTATAAAGTGTCAAAAAAACCGACAAAATGTCACTTTTCAACATATGTGTTACCCATGCTGGTCACTTATATATAATAAAAGTGCCTATGCATCTGTTATCTACGTATATAATCTCCACTGTTGGTGAAATCTGACCAATGTGTCCTGGTATTCACATAAGGTAGCCCTTTTTTGCATTTTCTATACTACCAAGAATGAACATCTTACATCCCAGCTCACAATATGTGTTTTATATTTTACAGAATAACATTCTGACTACGCCACTGAACTATAAACTACCTCTCCAACGAGTAATTGAACATCTAATTACCTGTTGCACCTAAAATAAACGACTCCGGAGATTGTTCGTCGGTTAATTATGGTAGACGAATATGCTCATATCTTCTTGAAAGAATTTTACGAGGAGTAATGTACTCAGGAGTTGTAAACACCATTTTTAGATTCTGCTATTTAATCATGAATACAATAAATGAACTCAAAATCACTTGCTCTAATACAATTTTGTAATACTTTAGGATCTAAAGATAATTTGGTAGTGAGTTGCATCCACAACAATCACACGATATTTGTAGGTACTGATGAAGTTTTATGAAAAAGCTGAATGTTGAAAGTGATTTTGGTAACGACTACTAACAAAGCTAATACAAAAATATATGAATTACTTGAATATTATCTGCCACGAATAGTATTTTTTAACGCAAAGTGAAAGTACAAGATGGCGGCTGGGTGCCATCCTGGTACATTTTTGTAAATGGCGTGTGATATCTCATTTTGAAGCTTTTTATCATAACTTTACAGCGCCATGTTAAAAATCTGCTATCTTTTACAATGCCGGATTGGCGGGCTACCGAAGTTGAGTACTTTTATACATGGAATCTCTTATATCTCGATATATACTTATATTATTTTATACCATTTTTTGGCAGCGCCTTTCAGAATGTGTAATAAAAGTAGGGCATTTCATTAAAAAAAGAAAATATGTAATCTTTTTAAAACGGAATATATTTTATTTTATTACCTGTTTGAACACATCCTTCCAAGAGAAAAAACAATTGTACAACATACTATAGCGTTTTTTTGATTTTTTTTGAGATATAAGCAATTCAATTCGCAAAAACGCTTAATTTTATCAGCCTGCTAGATCGCCATTTTGAAAGATACCCACTTTATATTATGGGATTATAAACCACCTGAAGAAGCTTAAAAATGAGGTACCGCATGACCTCATTTTCCATTTAAGAAACTTTTTAAGATGGCGCGTAAGTGAGGGAGAATCTTTTTGTGTTTAATATGGAATTACAAAGGTCATCTGAATCATCATGAATTGTTAATTTATATTGATCCGCGTGATATCGCTATATGTTATTTGGCGAAATGTTCACTTGTTTACCTCATTTTGTTGTATTTATAAAACATTCATGTCATCCATAATAAAAATGTATATGCTCCATCTTACTCATACTTTACTTTTCACGCTAAACAATGGGCGTATAAGTATCACTGCAAACCCATTTCCTCATAAAAATCAGGCTACTCCCAGATCGGCTGGAAAAACCACACGGACCTCGAAAATCTGGGCCAAGAGTTAACATACTTAAGTTACTTTTCCAGTTGATGCTGTTATATTGTATTCATATTTGAGAGTACAAACTACAAATCTACTGACTATACTATAGAGAGTTGATGGAAAGTACAGACATTCCTTCTGCAACAAAATTAATATTGGAAATGGTGACATGTTGTGATTTTAATAGTATGTTCTCAATGTATGACCTTACCAGATTAAGAGCCCCGTCCCTATCAGAGTCCATGGAATTTTCATCGTTATGCTCGATATTGTGTTCACTGCCACTAACGCTTTGGTCTTCGTCACCGCTGATATCACCGTTTGCGTCTCCATCTGCAACATTAGATAATGCTTTTCAAAATCTCTTATAATGCACCGAATATATAAATGAATACATTTATTCTTCATACGATTATACAATGATAGTACTAGAATTGTCATTAAGAAGAAACTTAGTTGCCTGACAAATGGTCATGTATAAAATAAAAAATCATCAAGAAAAACAAAAAACAAAAATTTCACAAATAACGAAAATACTCATATAGAGAATCGCGCCCTATAAAATACACATTATAAGCATCAGTGGTAAATGAATCAATCACATATGTTATTCTTATTCAAAAACAGTGTGAAAATATTCCGAAACGCTAAACAAGGGATTGTTTAATGTAATATCCTTAACCCTTGTTTTAAAAAGATGTAAGTTGGTTACGAGTATACCCTTTATGGAATTTGGTAGGTGCTTATAGTCTTAATGCCATAACTGCAGGACCTTTGACGGCCAATGATAATCTATGGAGAGAAATAACTATGTCGTATGGCGAAGTCCGTAGCACTTAATTTCTTTTATTTTGATAGAAAGAGCTTCAAAATTTTCTTTGATGTAGATAAGGTATCTATACACATATAAAGAGTGAACTCTCATTATCCCAATTGTTTGAATAACTCTTTACAAGTGTAACGCCGACACCTGAAAGACATTGTTCTCAATTTTCTTTTTCTGAATGACAATTTTTTATTTCGTGAATGCATAAACAGTTCCACCAGCAAAAAAGTCAGTAGCTAAGAGTTGAATGACGATAGAAAAGGTAATAGAGCTTTCAACAAAATTTCGTAGCTGAAATATCAAATAATAGTGCTGTCCCCTGTATCCTCCTATACCTCCCATGGTTCCTACAGGTATTCTTATAAAAAAAGTGAAGTAAAAACCCTAAAGTTGCGCAACTTGTTTATAGGCCAAAGAAAAGCCACTATTTACTCCACTGCAAAAGAAAAATCGGCTTAGATGGGCTAAAGAACATAGACAATGGACACCTCAATAATGGTGTACAATGCAATGGAGTGATGCCCGATTCGAAGTTTGTGTTGGTGACAGTCGCAGAAGAGTTATTCGCAAAAAATGAAGCATTCCATGTTGACTGTCTGAAGAGAAAAGTGAAATATCCAGCATCCATTTTGGTCTTTTGAAATGGGTTTCTAGCAGTCCAGATCTGTCACCTATTGAAACTTTGTGGCACGAGATGAAAAAGGTTCTACGACAACATCCTGCTCGTACAATCACCGAACTGAGACAAAAGCTTCAAGAAATATGGGATTGTTTTACACCAAATTTTTGCCAAAACTTGGTTAACACTATGCCCCAAAGAATTTCAGCCTTAATACAAAATAAAGGTGATGTTACCCAATGGTAATCTTTCAATTGTTGCTTTGTTAACTTCGCGCATTTATTCGCACATTGTTTATTTGTTCAGATGTTCTATTCGTTATAGGACTAAGTGATTTCAAATATGTATTTTTTACGACTAGAGTGTATCTAAAACGTTTTTGAGAAAATAAATTGCTTTAGAAGTAAATATTTTCGTCATGTCTAGTTTATAAAGGCATATTTTGGTACAAATCTTGAAGTGGGCCAACTGAAGTGGGAAGGGCTCGTACCTCTAGCTTTTTAGATTACTCCCCATTTTGGTCAGTTTTTGGATGTAGTCGTATGCATTTTTAAAGGATCGACTTTTGAAGCAAAAAAAATCATCTTTAAAGTTTTTGGCTATGTCAGGGTATCATAAAAATATTTTGGAAACTCTTTCAATATGCTACATTGTTTTAAAATACAATTTTGTGTTGTATTTTTCCTTAGCCGACACATAAAACAACGATTCATTGTGAATACAAAAGAACGTAACAAAACTTGTTTTTAAACCTGGCATCAATCTGTTCGTCAAGTAGGAAATAAAATGGTGTTTCGTAGTGCAACTATTTCACGCTTATTGACCATGGAGTTTCGAATGTAAATGTGAGATGCAGTTAGGTGTGAAATACCCTTGCGTCAGGGGCCAGGAGAAAGATACGAAAAGCCGTAAGAGGGTGGTGGCGAATATATATACATGCACACAAGTGACTCCACCGGACCTTATCTGACTTCATGCAGGACTTGCTGGGCTCTGGCGCGTACGAAATCGCGTTAGAGGCAAGTCTGGTGCATTAGAAGCATGAAAAATTATGCACTTGAGGTCATCCAGTGGGTACAGCGTTTGGTATAAATTGTGATGGCTGTAATATCTGACGATTGACATTGAAACTGAACACCAAAGAAACGTTTTGACATATTTTTGCTAACTCCGCGCAATCGTATCAATTTTCAAATAGGTAAAAATATCTAGTATGATCAATTTAAAATCATTTTGTGACATTGAAAACGATGGACCAAAAATTATAAACCTGTTTCAAATGTCACTATTTTAAGCTTCTCAAGTTGTACTCAAACAATTGTTGACGGTGTGACGTTCATTAAAACCCATATCTTCTTAGTGTCCCGGCTTATTTCAGACAAGACAATAGACTAGTTACACACCATACCAAAATGATAATAAACAGAATGTTTTGAGCGTTATTTACCTTCTTATGTGACCCATTTCAAGCGTACCCATAGCTGCGAGTAGGGATTTTGAACCCTTTTCCCAGCTTTAAAATGGCGCGTGTTTTAAAAAAGGGGTTAAAACACGTGCTGTTTCTATTGGCTGAGAGGGTCGGTTACACCGTCAACTGATTGAAGCCGCAACTAAAAAGGGGCTCCTTAACGGATTGGGGTCACAGCCACCTATGTGAATCGACAATGGGTCTTACAACGTCATCAATCAAGCTTGAATGACGTTTCGCAAATTCAGCGGAGGCTAACGCGCTGTAACTTTGGATAGAGCTGATAGAAAGCCGAATATATTAATAGTTAAAACGCTATAGGCGAAAAGAGGGTGGGTATAGCTGAATCATGCTACAAATACAGTTTTTTGCTTCCGCGACTAGATGCCATTATCCGATGGTCATATCTTGTTGCAAGTAAAGTATATAAACGAATGATACTGCTCACAATAAAAAAAGCATCGTATATTGTAAGTTAAAAACGTACTGCCCACGATTGTGAAATTTCTTGTACAGGGTACAAAGCAAAAAGATCCTATTTGGCTATCCTTTTCCATGTTTAAACTTGTCCATCTTTGATACTTCATCTAACATTTTTCAAAAACAAATTGAGACCTTGAGATGAGTTTTAGTTGACGCAAGTGTATTATTTAATGTCACATTGGCATGTACAAAAGTGTTCGTGCGGGTAATCCTGTGAATATTGAAATAACACTACACCGATAGTTTTTGCAAGAAAATAGTATTGATCCCACCTAGAAACCACCTCTCAGTTTTTCGTTCACACGAACCGTTTCCGAAAAAACATTTTATTAAACTGTATATCAATCTGAATATCGTTAGCCGGCACTTTTTTAACGATCATAACAAAAAAGCGCCTAGGGACACTTTCAAGCAGTATCAATTTGTCTTTCGGAAAATGACACTTATTTGTTCAAAACCCAGCGACCTACAATGTTTCGCACAACGTTGCATTAAAAAAACTGATCAAAATGATATACAGGGTGTTAGGGAAACAATACTCGTAACATTAGGAGGTGATTCCTTACACTATTCTAAGCAAAAAAGTTCATTATAACTTATGTCCGAAAATCAATCATTTTTAAGGAAAGTGAGTCGTAAATAATTACATTTTCTCACACTTTTGGCAACGCTGCAACGCAACCGCGATACAAGCGCACGACGACCGCAACTGATTCATCGAATTGTTTACGTTTGTATGATATTTTTGTTGAAAATATGCCTTGAATTATTGAATACTTTTATGCAATTTTGGTTGTCTAATATTTGACAGAACCTACCGGTACCTGGCGATACACACTACCAATTCCCACGATTATCAGTCACTCATTTGAAACGATGCGATGCACGAAAACAGAAAAAAAAACAACATCCTTAATTCACATAAAATGTATCAGTAATGAGAACACGCGATGATACATGCTGTGCAGGTGTAGTAATACGTTGCCAGTTGTGCGAGAGATTTTGTTTGTCTATTTTTATTCGGAAAATTGTATTTAATAAGGAATAACATTATTTTGTTAGAGACAGTTAATTAATAAATAGATGCATTGATACATTTTACCCTGTTAGGCATATGGATTTACATCATTAAGGTGCAAAATTAATTTATTTCATGACTAAAAAGAAATAAGTTCAGCATTTTTTAGCTCCGAAACGGTTGATTTTCGGACATATGTTAAAATGAACTTTTTTACTTAGAATAATGCAGGGTATCACCTCTTAAAGTTAGGAATATTATTTCCCTAACACCGGGTATAAAATTGACTTTTTGATGCCGTGGAGTAATACGTTAGAGTAGCAGAGGGATATTAAAAAATTATCTCGTAGAATACAGTCAAATACATACGAGTACACGTACTCCAGCTTATTGAGGATACAATGTTTGAAACAATACATCGAGACAAATTTTACCAAAAATTTTTGTACAAGGTCTAAAAAAACTTAATAGCATATTCCTAGTACTTATAACTATCAACCACGCTACAAACACACCATCACAAAGATCTAACAACTACATACTTTTAAATAGATGCTAAGAGTCTCTCTTAGATTAGTTATTCTAAATCCCGAAGCAAATCATTCCTCCATTTTCTATGCATCCCTATTTCCTACCCTTCCATCTAACCCTGAAACCATCATCCTTCCTCTTTTTTCTTTATAATTCAGCAAGCTGTGTCGCGTGGCACCCTTTAACCTCTGCGCGTGCCTTGTTCTTTATTAAAAAGGGTTGCTCACATCTACTTAGGGTTTTTATATCAGCGTAATATTTCCTCAGGGAGGGACAAGCAGCCCTTCCTTAGGCACGGGCGACAACAAATGTCGCGCTTCCTCTTCGAAAAGGGGAAGTGATTGGGTTTATAAGCTTGCTGGTGATTTATTGTCCGTATTTACATAGC